TGTTGTGTGGATTTTTGGAGAGGTTTTTTAAATGTAAAAAAGGCCAATTGGGGCCACCGGGGGATGACCCCCCTCGTGCTCTCCCTGTAAAAAGTCCTTTCGGGGCGGACCCACAAAAAGGGGGGGGGGGGGGGGCTTTTGGGGGGCCCTTTCTCAAAAAGAGGTGTCCCCCCCCCCCCCCCCCCCCCCCCTTCCCTTACTCTCCCCACTCTGCTGTCCTGCCGAGGAGCGTCACGCAGTCGTCCGGTGCGTCTCCTCAGCAACTCCAGGGAACCGGATCTCGAGGAATATCCTTCAAAGGAATAACTGCAGCCGGCGGTGCAGGAGGAGATCACACCACAGAAGACCTGTGCGAGTCGCCCGGAGAAGAGAGGGCTCCCCCCCCAACCTGAGGTGAGCGGCCCTGCCCGTCGCTCCCCGTGTGCGTGCGCGCGTGTGTCGGTGCTGCAGTGGTTCTGGAGGTGCGTCAGCTTCAGTGCCGGGTCAGTGCGCCGCCACCTTTTTTAGGATACCCTAAAAAAGGTGCGCGTTGAAGCCCCCGCCACCCCCACAGACACACACACACACGGTCTCTCTCGCACCTCGTGCGACACTGACAGTCAATGTTCCACGTGCTCGTGTGTGTTTTGTATAAGATGTGTTTTATTGTGGCCCTGTTCGTTACCAAATAGCGCTGCTTCATTCTGGGACTGTTTGGGAGCAGGCTGGGGGGGGGGCTCGGGTGGGACAGTGCAGTCTGTCATGGCTATATTAGGAAAGTGGCAGTGTCATTCTTTCTCTCCAGAGCCGTGCTATGTGTGACAGAGGAGGGCTATCTCATTAACCCGAGACAGAATTAAAAGAGTATACATGGGGGAGATTTTTTAGACCCATAAATCCTTTTATTACAACAACTTTTAAAGTATTTTTGCAGGAACACTTATTGCAGGTTTATTTACAGAATTTCAACAAGGCAGCCTGCAGTTGTCAGTCAATAAAACTAGAATACAAAGTAATTTTAGAAAGATTTGAGGTTCTCTTGATATAGAAATAAATTATTACCTTTTACCATACATATTTACTCTATTTATTGAATTAGATGCAACATAAAGAAAGAAAGCCTCAGAACCCTTATTTACTTTTTTGTCAAATGTTTGAAACTAATTGGAAAGATACAGGTGTGTTTTTGATTAATGCCACAGAGCATCTTATATTTACAGCTATACAAAACAAAAGTGATGAAAACCATTATTACAAGTCCCTAAAACAGCATCAGTGATAAAATAAAAATATGTAAGTATGCATATTATAATGCATCACAGCTGTCCTCTCTAAAGTGGCCGCTGGAATGTAAATCTTTTGATAACAGAGAGCTTCCAGGAAAGAAACAAGAGCCTCTGTCTTATCAGTCGGGTATCCCTCAGTCTTCAGGCTAAAAGAGATTCAGATATCATCGCTGACAACAGGGTTTGGGTCACGTCGTGTTTGCTTTGTCAGAGGCCGGATCAGACCTCATATGGTTTCGTTTTTTGATTTTGTTGAGCCAACTAAGTTGAGGATTTGATCGATCAAGTTATGATCACCCATGAAAAGAGGAATAACTCTGACGTCTTCGGGGACAGATGCAGGCCCTTTTCCAGATGTACGGTTTCACTTTTGGCCCCTGGTAGTTTACGTTAGAAAAGCACTAAACTAGATATTCCCATGAGGATTGTAACATGGGTGTGATCTGTTCTGTATCTTCTCATCTGTGTCTTCTGAGTATTTGTGTTTCATGTTCAGCCGTCGCATAGTGTTTGGTTGGAACAATCAACTATTAATATCTGCGCTGTTATAGAATATCTGCTGAGTTTTGGAGGATTACAGAGCATCTGGCTGGGAGCCCGGCAACAGCAAGTTGTCAGTCAACACATTACAGAGTTCATCGTTCAGAGATAAGCGGAATGTTGAATTTCAAGTCACTGAAAGCTTTGCTTGAATTCAAAGATTATCTTTTACAGGAGTGAAAATCACAGATTTCAGAGATAAAAAGCTCTTCTGTAGGATTAAATCCTTTATGTGCTCCCTGTTAGCAGTGGTTTGGTTTCAGAACTGATCAAACTCTTTAAGACTTTTTGGCGAATGTTAAACTTCTGAACCACCTTCATCACGTTCCCTTTCAAATGACTTTGTCTCTAACCCTCTTCTGACATCTCCTCCTTCACGTCCTCCTACCCGCCTCAGCCATGAGTCGCAGCATTGTGCGGCAGAGTAAGTTTCGGCACGTCTTTGGTCAGACGGTCAAGGCCGAGCAGGGTTACGATGACATCCGTGTGTCCAAGGTGACGTGGGACAGCTCCTTCTGCGCCGTCAACCCAAAGTTTCTGGCGGTCATTGTCGAGTCCAGCGGAGGAGGCGCGTTCCTGGTGCTGCCCCTCTCTAAGGTGAGTTACATTGGAATGTAACAATTCCCTGAAAATTAAACTAAATGATGACTACAGCAAATTTGAAATAATCTGCACGTCGGCCTTTTACATGACATGTGCTCATTGTGCTTAATATGTCAATGTTTCTCACTGTTACCTGTGTTTTCTAATACTATTGTGCTTTATTAGTTAGTTTAATTTTATTAGAAATAGAAAAAAATTGTTAGAGAAGAACATCGTAGAAAAAAACATCTCCTGTATGTTTATGAGACGGTGATCAGTAGTAAGATGTGGTTCAGTGAGGATGATGCGTTTTAGTTACACTGCCGTTGGCATGTTGGTGTGCAAACCACTGACATATCTCAGCTAATAATACAATAATACAACACATGTTCATGGTCCCCACATCATTTATTCTATGAACTTTCATGATCCTCTGACTTTCCCTCTATCATTGCGTCGAAGCTTAATTACATTTCAAAATAGTGTGAATGCTGTGAAAACAAAAATACATTTCCAAATTTCCAAACATCTCCCTTAAGTGACACACTTAAGTGTAAGAGATTTGTTGAGGTCACACGGGCCAATGTTGTGTTAAACAGGGAAATCAGTGTGGCCTCTTTAGTTTCAGATCCTTGTACTGAACTGAGGTTTCCACCCAGAAAAATACAATATATACAATATCCACCTAATAAGTAACAGGAAGGTTGAGCCAATGTGGGATGCTCATTAGACAAATCTTATCCTATATCCATGACATTATCAGCATGTCCTAACGGGGACAGAGAAAAAGCCATAATTGCAGAAACAGGAATACATCTCAAGGAAAAGCCACGGATATTTAAAAGTGCGACATTGGGATGATAAAAACTAAACGTGTCAGCATTTGAATCCATCTACGCGTCGATCCAGTGTCGCTCCCTCGATTCTCTCTAAGTAACAGATGGCTAAACGTCATCAAATTGTACAGTGATCTAATAATCACTGATGTAGACAATTCAATTAAACCGCAGCTAAAGTCTTATTATGTTGTATCACGTTCAGAGACGATTAGTCTCCGCAGTACGTCCAGTTAGCTCCAGATCACAGCTCATGGTGTAATTTAACGAACCACTACTGACGCAGCTACAGTCAGCCAAGTCTGACACCGGTTTGGTTTCCATGTGAGAGGCCTCCACTTACTCAGCAGGTCCCCTTTGAGCTGCAACAGCAACTGGGCAACCACAAGGCAGCATTACCAGAACTGAGAAGTTAATCCACCGCAGTCCAGAATATAGTCATTTTTTAAATTATGGTAGGGTTATTTGAAGTTTATGAAGAAATTTGATTTTGTTTTAAATTACATGAAAATTATATTGGAGTTAAAATTGAGCTTTAACGAGTGGAATATGCTGTGTTTTTCATTTTTTAAATAGATACATTTTGAAACGAGGGCACGGTTGCTGAGATTGATAAGTGAAATTAGTCACAAGGAGCTCTTTGGAAGCACAGGGAAATGTATGTGATTGTGTACTGGTCACGGTGAACAGACTATTAATACACACCAACGTGCTCTCCGTCCTCCGTCTCCCCCTTCGAGTCCCCAACAGGCCGCGAGAAAAACTCCCCTTTCAACGCCTCGTCCCCTCAGCTATAAATACACCTCTCTTGGGGTGTGTGTGTGTGCGTTGTGTGTGTGTGCGGGTCGGGTGATATTTCAGAGGTACATGTGTTCACACAATAGAAACAGGGCAACATGGAATAATCTGGAAGTGACATCATACATTTAGTAATTCAAACTATGACTCGCGATTCAGATGAATTTGTGTAATTTTGATTACTCCATTTCAGTAATTGACTACTGGACCAATAATATACATTTTTGGATTATCAGAGATAGTTTGACCTTGAGGCAGATTTGTTTTTTTCTGAAAACTTTAAGGACTTTTCCTCCATGTTCGCTAAAGGAAATTGTGTGAAAAGTTTAGTGACCTTTGAAATCGTGGTTGAGAAAAAATCGACTTAATTAAACTAGACAGGGTGAGATTGCGTTTTTCAATATTCAATTGTTTGGAACTGTTTCATGTTGAAATAAAGTGACTAACAATGCTTACAGCTCTTTTGCACTTTGTAATGAGAAATAGGGGTCGACGTGGCGCAGGGGTAGGGAGGGTGCGCTGGTGGTTCGAGTCCCGGGTGTCCCCATGTCCCATGTTGAAGTGTCCCTGAGCAAGACACCTAACCCCTAATTGCTCCCCGGGCAAAAATGTAAAAAAACATGGGTTAAAAATGTAATTTAAGTCGCTTTGGATTAAAGCGTCAGCTAAATGACCTGTAATGTAATATAATGTAAAATGTGTGTTGCAGTCGGGTCGTGTGGATAAGAACTACCCGCTTGTAGTCGGGCACTCTGGACCCGTCCTCGATATCGACTGGTGCCCTCATGACGACAACATCCTGGCCAGCGGCTCGGAGGACTGTACTGCGATGGTAACTGTGTGTGTGTGTGTGTGTGTGTGTGTGTGTGACAAAAAATGCGAGAGAGAATTTGCAAATGCATCTGGAGGAGTTTGTTGTTTTAGATGTGGGATGTTGTTGTTTTTTTACTTGTCCCTATAAAGTATTTTGATAATCATTCAGTTTTTCATGTGACACCTCGTCGCGAAGTCTTTTGTGTTTAACTGGAACCCGCTTTTAATTACAAGTTAGTCCTGACAGCGAATGAAAAGCACAGCAACCAATTTGAAATATTGCACACATTAGAGTAGTTGAGAGGGATTGAAAGCCCATTTTGAACCCAACATTTTAAACTGAGGTACAAAGGCGATTCTCTTGTAGTTCCTTCAAGCCGGCTGTGATGCACTGTAGCTGTAGCACTCAGTGAAGTCAGCAGGGGGCACTGTGAGATCAGGACCACAGACCAATAGAGATAAATGGAACATGTGAATAACTATGTAATATTATTCATACAAATAACTTATAACCCCGAAGGAAAAATTAACCGATTTATAAAAATCCATTTTTGCATCTAGGATATATAATCTCTCCGTATTTTCCAGTTTTATTGCAATCTCAAATCATGTCATGCTAAACAAAATTGTATTAGTGTTAATTATATCAATGCATAAAATATTCAAACAGTGATGCAGACAAAATACATAAATTCTTCAAAGGCAGAAGATGAGAACCTGGTTTAGTGTCTTTGACGTATTAAGAGAATACATCTTAGATAATCAGTTTCCTATGACATACAGCAGAATGAGCAGTATCTATTTGCACATGTTATTCTTGCTTTGAAAATAAGTTGTTGGGATTCATTTTTCTGATGACAGATTAATTAATGAATTGTTTACATGTGTGTGTCAGCTTCTATGTAAACACCCTCTCCTCTTCTGTTCTAATGGTCGCACAAATAAATGTGTTGCTGAAGAATGTAACACGACTATATAGCATATATAACATTTTAACTTCTAATCAGTGGATACTAAAGTATTAGAGGAACCGGTGAGTTACTGATATTACAATCTGATATTACAATCTGATATTACAATCGCCAAATAAAAGTAATCAACATTCTGTACATTCGGAAATGTCAAAGGTTTCTGCTCAATAGAGAGATGAAATATTCCCTTTTGATTTAAAAGAGATGATATGTTACTTAAATTGAAATACATTGCTTTTTGGGTGTGTGTGTGTGCACTTGCATTCATGTGTAGATTGTATTCACGTGTTTTGTTTGTATTGTGAGATGTCTTCTGTCTCAGCATGTTTCTGTACAACAGCACAGTTGTTACTCCGAACAAATTTGCCCACACTTGTTCACGACGACATCGCAGGAATCTTTGTGCAATCGCATGATTGAAACGCTGCTCCTCCTATATGGCAACAGCTGCTGTGTGTGTGTGTGTGTGTGTGTGTGTGTGTGTGTGTGTGTGTGTGTCTGTGTGTGTGTGTGTGTGTGTCAGTTCCAGCTGTCCAGTCTTGGCAGCGTTGCCGCTCTGAAGCAGAGCGGTCATACCGTAACTGTGAAGTCATTCACTTCAGATCACAGGGACGGCTCATTGTGTCATTTGAAAAGGCGCGTGTGTGTGTGTGTGTGTGTGTGTGTGTGTGTGTGTGTGTGTGTGTGTGTGTGTGTGTGTGTGTGTGAGAGAGCATATGTGGATCAACTCAATCGCCTTCTGAGTTGAGTAGTGGAGTTTGTGTTCGGTTGTTTGTGTTTTATGTTTTCCTTAAACATAATATAAAATATAATGTTATGTGTCCTTGCAGGGGGGTGAAGTCTAAAAAACAGAATTTTGCACAAATTATAATAGTTATACCAAATAGATAAAATGTTAAAAAGGAAATTTAAGTAGCCGGCCAAATATTAATCATGTACTAGTTTTGACTGGTTTTAAGGCCCTACTCAAGCAGCCTGTTACACAAAGGCGTGGACATTAATGGATGAGCGTCATATTTGTCATTTTGACTTCAAAGCAACAGGAATGTGTCTCAATAGCAATGATTGCCGGTCAATTTATGAACCAATGGAAATTGTCTAATTATTGCCAACAATTCCTCTGAATAGTGATACAGTATTTGTAAGGAGCAGGGGCCTAGAAAATACAGTAAGGCCGAGATCCTCCTTGTGGCAGTGGCAAGTGGGTGGCATCAAACTTGAGAGCCCCACCCCCTACACGGAACCCGCCGGTCCAAACCTAAAATTAGCCTCTGTAATAAGAAGACGGGGGCTCACGTGTCTCAAATAAAATTAAATAAAATTAAATAAAATTAAATATTTACAGCAGCTGACCTGTCGTACAAATAACAGTTGTTTCTGGGAAAAATTGGCTCCTCCCACCCAGCGTGCCGTCGTGACGCCGACTGATTTACTGGCGATTGCCGCTGCCTGTCACAAAGTTGCCACCCACTTGCCACTGCCACAAGGAGGATCTCGCTGTCACTCAGAAAATACTGCCCTCTGATTCAGTACATAGTGACTATTCTGGGTCATCTTGTTATTTACCACAATGTTAAACTCTTGACGGGTGCCGTCTTTGCGTCTGTTGTTTTGATCATCAAATTTATGGCCAGGAGGATGAAATGGGTTCAATGGATTACACATTAAGATCCCAATCGGAATCCATCTTCCCCTCCAGGTGTGGCAGATCCCAGATCACTCACTGACCCGCCCCCTCTCCGACCCCGTCGTCGTCCTGGAGGGACACTCCAAACGTGTCGGTATTGTCACCTGGCACCCGACCGCACGCAACATACTCCTCACTGCGGGTAGGACAGCCAGACACACACACACACACACACACACACACACACACACACACACTTGTTTCCTTTTTTTAGTCCAAAAACGTTTGACTGCATATGAATCTCCTCTGCTCGCCCCAGGCAGTGATAACCTGATTATAATCTGGAACGTGGGGACGGGCGAGCCCCTCATCTCCATGGACGACCACCCGGACCTCATCTACAGCATCAGCTGGAACCGAAACGGCAGCTTGTTTTGCACCACCTGCAAGGACCGACGTCTGCGCGTCTGCGACCCGCGCAAGAGGGAGGTGGTTGCGGTCAGTGAGTAGAAAATACCAATGAATACATCTAATACACTGATGCCACAATCCCACACAAGTAACTCTGCCCCGTCCCCTTGTCCAATCGGCAGGAACGTCTGGCTCCACATGAGGGCATCCGGCCAATGAGAGCCATCTTCACCAGAGATGGAAACATTTTCACCACAGGATTCACCAGGATGAGCCAGAGGGAGCTCGGACTTTGGGACCCGGTAAAAAAAACAAAAAACGAATGACATGGAATTTGCTGCTCATGCACATCAAAAGGTGCAGTGATATGCATGCACTTATGTGCATATTTTAGGCTTTTGTCTTTACTCCCCGCAGACAAACTTTGAAGAGCCCATTGCAGTGTTGGAATTGGACACAAGTAACGGAGTGTTGCTACCGTACTATGACGCAGATGCAAACATGGTCTACCTCTGTGGAAAGGTACAGAGGTGCTGGTTTAGTGGTTCAAATCATGTTTGTAAATGTCCTTTATATTATATACAAGTGTGCAGAGCCGTTGCATTTCCAGCTGTTAACAATGACACGTTTTGACATCTCTGCGTTTGTCTGTAGGGGGACAGCAGCGTCCGTTACTTTGAGATCACAGATGAGCCCCCTTATGTCCACTACCTGAGCACCTTCAGCACCAAGGAGCCCCAGAGAGGGATGGGCTTCATGCCCAAAAGAGGTGTGGACGTCAGCAAATGTGAGATCGCCAGGTAAGAAACAATTCAGCATTGTCTTAACTGTTTGATGTCAAGGCTGCAAGGTGTTGCTCAAGAGTATGAGTTACTACGTGAAATAAATTAGTCTGTACAGTGTCCATGAATAAACATATAATACGTTAACTGCTTATTTCTATCTTTGATGTTGCAGCTGTATCCAGGTTCACTGTTTACACTAATCCTCGTATCATGACTGACCAGTGACCCCTGCTCTCAAGAGTTTCTGAGATCATTTTCAGACTTACAAATGTTAATTACAAACTGATAATCTCATGTGTAACAAAAGTAAAACTCCCCTCTCACCGTCCTCTTAGGTTATTCAAGCTCCTTGACAAGAAGTGTGAACCCATCACAATGACGGTGCCCAGAAAGGTCATAGTATACAAGCTTTCTACTCTGACCATGGTGGAGGATTATTAAGCACATTTGCATTGGTCCAATTCACCTTCACCAGCTACAACATTAAATAACTGCTTGTTTCAATGCTTTGTTTCCAATCATTTGGAACTTTACCTAAATGACTTGGAATATCTCAAATTCTATAGTGTGGCATTTCTACTTTTACCAAAGCAAAGGATCTGCAGATTTCAACTACTGGACTTTTAAATGATTATCATTACAAGAATATGCTTGTTGGGTCTTATTCATTTATTTGTTACTGTTTCTCTTCATCCTCCGAGAAAGGCATGAATACACAAAGTCATATCAACCGCTGTCCAGTGTCTTCTAAAAAAAAAAAGAAAAAAGAACGAAACCAAAAAGCACTCTGTCTGACTTTCATTCATCTCGCCAACTCCCTCCCGCAGTCGGATCTCTTCCAAGATGACCTGTATCCGGACACAGCCGGCGCCGAGCCAGCCATGGAGGCTGAGGAGTGGCTGGATGGCCGTGATGAAGATCCGATCCTGGTCTCCATGAGGGAGGGCTACGTGCCGCCCAAGAGCCGGGAGCTCAAAGTGGCAAAGAAGAACGTGCTGGACTCTAAACCCACCGCTCGACGAAGCATGTCCACTTTGGACACCAGCAGTCTGCCGGTGAGTTGTGGCAATGCGAGACCTTCAGGTACCCTACTGTTCGATATCCAACAGTTAAATAAAAGCGATATTTTGGCTTTGCAACCTGTAATCTGAATCCAGCGTTACTCCTGAACATCTGTCTCTCTGTTCAACACCTGTCTGTTTATTTCTTCTCTGCCCTCAACCTTTTTCCTCCAGAAGCTCCCGTCTTTGCTTTGGTTTATTTCTCATAGTTGCTTACTGTCCTTGACCTATTTTCCATCTCTCTTTGCTTTATCCTCATTTCCCACCTCCCCGTCACTGTGTTTTTTCCTCTCTTCTTCTTCTGTTTCCCGTTTTTCCTTCTCTTTCCCGTCCAGCCTGAGCTGCTTCAGAGGCTGTTGGAGGAAATTCAGAATCTAAAGGCCACAGTTTTGTCCCAGGAGAAGAGAATTTGTGATTTGGAGAATAAGCTTTCCCAGTTTACCAACGGCACTGACTGACAAACACACCTTTTGAGCAAGTGCTTCTAAATTTCAGAATATCTATATGACTATACTAAAACAAATGTAATAAAATATAAAAATACCACTCACCTAATAACTTAGTGTTACCCCTTTAAAAGGTAGCATTGGGTAGGAATATGCAGGTGGACAATGTTAACTGTCAGTCCAACTACTTTGAATAAATTACATCTGTAATAATACAATTCTGTCATCGAAGGTTTACAAGTAGAAAAACACAAATGACAGAAAAATAGGTTTCTGCATGAAATGATTGAAGTCTCTCTTGAAACATTTGATGCACAAACATATTTGATAATAAATGTTCCTGATTCCTGATAGTACACACACACACACACACACACACACACACACACACACACACCGCCATCAAAGACCAAGCAGGCGAACACACTCGGCACCTTTCTTTTGCATTTCCCCCCCGTATCAGACAAACACTGACGAGTTCATTAAATCTCCCTGAAAACTTTTCAAAAATGTAAATAGTGATAAAATGAAACCGTAGAAAAATGTGAAAAGTATGTTTTGTGTTCTGTAAAGGATTATACATTAGACACATGAAAATAAAAAAGTGTTTTTTAAAAATATCTGCCTCTGTGTCATGGTGCTGCTCACACACAAAATGTGTATTTCCATCGGATTTTGGGTCATGGTTCTTTCTTCAGCTCCAGTATAAATACGATACTTTCATCTGATATATTGTGTCGACATGTCTATGGCACAGTATTAACTGGCTTTTTTTGTATTATCTTGTGCTATAACATGGCTTTTCATGAGATATTTATTTTTGTACAGATTGAACTATGATTTGGTTATGACAGAAATGTCTTATAAGTAACTTACTTTATGCCTGGATTATGTGAGCTGCAAACTCAAGCGAAAAGGAAGATCAATATCAAGCAAAGATCACACTCGAATGAACGTTTATTACGTCCCTCTTAATAATAATAATTAAAATAATAATTTTTCAATTAGTAATTCATTGGAAACATATGCAGAAAATTGTTTTTATGGAAAGAATTATACATTCGACACATTGTAAAAAACACAGCTTTTTTATCATTCCTGCCTCTCATTTAAACAAACACAGCCATCGGTTGCAGTGGATTTATTTAAGTTTCCTCCCCAAAAAAGCAGTGTGACTGAACCATATGAAAAATATCCCAGTAACACCTACAGTGAGCGAAAACATTTCATAAAGTAGTGCTGCCCGAGATGACCCATTTTACAGTACAAAGTCAATTTATTCAACGTTTAAAAAAAAAAAAAATACACATGCTGCTGCCCCAATTATAACTTCAACCGGGAGTCAAGGGATGCCCAGTTTGGAAAGCATATGGAGTCCCAGCAGCACCACGGTTGGGAGAAGAAGCGGTGAGGGAGTGACTTTTGGGGAAGAGGAGAACACACAGGTGCCCACGTTGCCCACTCGATCCACAGCCACCAGCTCCACCTCGGGCTCACAGCACGACGAGACGTAGGAAACCAGTGTTATGTTCTCATTGCCGCTGGCCGGACTGGTGTTGAAGGTCCCGTTGCCCCGTCTGAGGCTGACTCGCTCCACGCCCGTCCCTTCCGCCCCGTCAGTCACCCGAACGGAGAGCTCCCACGTCGACGAGCTGCAGTTGGCGGAGCAGTTGGCTTTGAGGCCGAGCTGCTCGCACCGCGGCGGAGTAAAATCCGTCACCTGACAGCAGAAGAAAAACGATGCTTATTAATAAATTACAGTTACAAATCTGTTGAATGGGTTTCTTCAGTGCGAGGGGTTACCGTGTTCACGACGGGGATGCGCAGCACGACGTAGTTTGTGTCTTCGCCGCCGGGAGCCTCGGCCTCAATAGTCAGGGTGACGTCGTCACCAGACCGGGTGTTCAGAGGTGCCGAGAGGGTCACCGTGTCGTTAGCGCTGACCCCAGTTTCCAGGAACACGTTTGTCGGAGAGGTCGAGTCGAAGGGTTGGTTGATGGTGGCTCGGATGGTGAAGTTTCCTCCTACTCCTCTGGTTAACACTGAGAAGGGCACGGAGAAGGGGGTCCCTGGTACCAAGATGCTATTGGAATCCGCCTAAACGGGGAGGGGGGGTCAGACAAGTGTTTGTGGCTTTATCTCACGTCTAAAGTGATGCTCCTGTGACACAGTGATGGTCTGAAATGGGTACTCACAATCACAGTCACATTGGAGCCTCTGAAGCTGGTGCATGACTGCCGTTGGAAGACTATTGCACCGCCATCCCGCCCCGTCACCCGCACCGCAAACTCCACCAACGGCACCACGTCAACGAGAACCAAGAAGTTTCCTCCCCCCCGTGGCTCCACTGTTCCTTTGACCTCCCCCGACCCGGACGATTCGACCAGAGTGACCTCTGTCACCGTGGCCGAGTCGCTTCCCGTTAACGTCACCAACAAGCTGCCGTTGACGCCTTCAAAAGAAGGGAGGAGATTGATCATATTTTGACTCATATCATCAAATTCCCATCTTAATTATCTTTACCGGCTCTGGGACGAGTGTCAAGAGAATCATATCCTGTGAAAGGGCCTTGTGATGCCTCCACAAAGTCAAACAGGAAGTCAATAGGACTCTGACCTGCCAATGAAGACAAAAATAATCAAAGGATCAAATAAACAGCAGCTATTCAGACAAAGCTGAAACACCACATAGAGCTTTCTATGTTTTTCAAAAATAAAGGTTGTTACTATTATATCAAACACATTCTGCCATCATTAAATGTGGGAGTCTAAAGGTAAATCATTGGACTAAAAACAATAGAATATGGTGCTCTCACCTATGACCTTAAGAGTGTACGGATTAGTTGACTCCATTTTCATTTTCCACAGTCCAACTTGACTTTTTAGCTGCAGAGTCTTGAGGTTCCCCACAGACTGCGATGCAGTGATCAACGGTCCTGTTGTGTCAGTGCTTTGCTCCCCTTCAAAGTTACAACCGTAGAATAATTGTGTGAGAGCCTGAGACACATTATTACAGTGCTTGAAACATTTAATCACAAATAATATATGTTAATGAGATTGTTTGTCCGATTTCATTTTAAATTGCATTTCTTTTTATGATTTTAGTTTATTTTGAAATGTCAAATATTGTACCACAACTTGCTTTTTACATTAAAAAAAAGTATACCATGTTTGACTGATCCATTTGTCCTTTGTTTAAAATAATGAAATAATACACATAAAGCCTGAACTTGTGGTGTTCATAAAGAGTGAAGACGTAACTCATAAAGGCAGCATTACCTGTGGGGCTAGTGAGCGTGAACGTGACAGAGCGCCCGGTGATGTAGACTCTAACGTTTTCCACTGTTCCATCAACCGTAAAAGAAAAGGTGTCGGTCCGTCCCGGGCTCCTGGCCGCCTGCAGCAGGGTTACCTGGCAGATCAACATTAAACAGGTGACACAGCTGAAATCTTTCCACTGACGAATCCGAGTAGGGGAGAGAGCAAAGGGACGTTACCAGAGAGGACCTGGAGAACTGTGTGATGATGCTGGTGGCCTCAGGGAGCTCCGTCTTTGAGACTTCAACAACCAGACCTCCTGAAGCCTGAGCCAGGTCTCTGTACAGCTGAGCATCCGATTCCGCGATCCGGTCAAGGTTCTGGTTGTCCTTACTCCTCTTCCTACGATTGACCACTGTTGTGCCGGAAATCATGAAATTCACCTGCAGAGCCAGAAGCACAGGCAACCAGATTTAGCGCAGTCTCTAGTGACCTTTGGTGGGAGTGACAAGAAATCGCCCAAAGACGGAACATTACCATCGTAATGCTTGTAATGCAAACGCTTTGTGTCAGGGTCCCAACAAAACAAGGTTGTTGCTTTGTTTTCAATTAATGTCATTATAGATATAAAAACTTAGAAGATTAAAATATTTTAAAACATTTTTTTAATAAAATAGGTATGTACTACTTTTTTTAACATTGTGTTTTATAACATTATGTACATAAAGTTGAAGTTGGGATCAGTGCAAAACCTTATACACTTCCACAACTAACCGGTTTTACAAACTTTTGTGTCGCACCTTGTTTTTTGTGTCTCGCTATCTACTAGCTCTTTGTCTCTACTGTCGCTTGTCTGGTTGGCCGTGGTTCAAACACAAGGCATGTCAAGGTTTTGCTTTCTTTTTTGTACTTTCTCTTTTCCTTTCTTCCTCGTAGGTGTCAGGGTTGGCGATGAGGATGCGACCCCACCGTCGGCCAACCGCGACCCGCCCCCCAGTTAGCGAACCACTGTTCCAAGACATTTAGCCATTTAGTAAAATGCGGACGCTTGGTCAGTGACCCCAACTGTCGACCTATGACACCGGAGACAACCCCCCCCCCACAGCATCAGCGGTTACATCGACTCATTTAACCTACGTGACAAAATACCAACACTTGGTGTTGGCAATTTAGTTTTGCAGAGGACACAAACAGGCTTCTCCTCGCCGAATCAAACAGAATGACATTAAATATTTGTGAAAATTGTTAACCTTTTCACGATAGCACATCATTCAATTCTATACGGAACATCAATTGTTTTTGTATTTAGATACTCACCACTGTTTGCGTCCGCTCTATGAGCGCGATCACTGTGCTTTTCAGGTGTTTGTCTTTAGCTGGTCCATCCGTGAAGAGGAACACCTCAGAATTTTGCGGCGCCCTCGTCAAGGCCAGCTGTGTGAGGAGGAGTGCGCAGTAACAAGGACGGTTTCAGTTCAAACACATCAACAAGCTTCTGGGGGCAGATTTTGCAATAAAGAAAAAAACAACACATCACAGCACCTGAAGCCCTGAAAGACTCAGTTCCTCCTCATCCCCTCCACCGGCTGCCGATAGTGAATTGATGACATTCTTGAAGACCTTTGGGTCCGTAGTCTTTGTCATCGGTCCAAAATCTGGGGTTCAGTTGGCGACAGCAGAAAGTAAACACTTTGATGATGAAGTGCGACACCAACGACACGTACACCACCCTCGAGATTGTACCTGGATCGTTGAAAGGTACTAGAATGTAGGCTGAGGGCTCATTTTCCGTCCCGACTTCATTGTCGATTATGGAGGAGGTGACGGCCCGCACGGCTTCGATGTCGTCGCTCATGCTTTTCGTGGTGTCGATCACAAAACAAAGCGCTTTACTGGACCCTTTGGAGATTCCCAACATCCTGATGGAGGAAAAGAGACGAAAGAACGGGATGAAGAAACACCCTTTACCTCCTTAAAACAACTGACACACGCAGAGAGGGTTTCATACTGGAGGAACGGTCGGTCACCAGCAGCCCCTCGAATGTCCTCCAGCAGCCAACTAGTTGCAGCAATCGCCAGGTTTGCTGCGTCAGGGTGGAGGTGTCCGTGGCTGGCATCAAAAGAGTCTTTGTTGATCCCACCTTTAGGCTCAATTTTGCTTGTTTGATCACCTGCTCCTCCGTGACTGCATTTTCCTTTGCAAACACATAGCACGAGAAGTTCTGTGTCATTTTCGGTGGAATGTTCTAGTGGATAAATATTTTCTCAGTAAATAAATAATCTACTTGTCCTCCTAAACTGTCAACGAGTCATGAATCTGAAAGCATAATGCTGTGGCGTTATTGTTTAAATGTAAGGAATCACTTACCCTTTGGTTTGGTCGAGGCAAAAGGCACAACACCAAAATACCCAGAGGTTAGTACCTTCTCCTCGATGATGTCAGCCAAGATGTTGTTCCTGCAGTCGTCTCCATCACAGTTGCGACACGTCGCCCTGTTTCTATCTGAGAACAAAACATTTCAAATCATGTTTTAATCCAGGAAATCACACGTCTGCAGTCACACCCAAACTGCATTCCACCATCACTCCGGTGTTATCTTTTGCACATGCACACGCATACACTTTACCTGCTAGGTTACCAATGCTGGTGTCCGATCTGATCAGATTAGCATTTGGGAATTTGTTTCCTAGTTCCACCCAGTTACTGTGACTGTAGAAGTCCTTAAAGAAGACAAAGGTTAATCATGCATTGGATTTCCATGAATATTAACAGTTGAAGCTTTAGAAATGCTTTTTGAGTTAATGAACCTGTAAGGGATGTAAAATCTCTCCCATTTTCTGCCTGGCCGACTCAAAGTTTCCCTGTTTGTTGCTTGCTTTCACAACCATTATTCCCTCGGTGATGATGTTCCGACCTTGCACAAACAATTCTTCATCAAAATGGAAGCTTCCATTAAGTGCATGACGAATGTCCACCCGTATGTTCCTCAGCGTGATAAATATAATGGCTTGGCGGTAGTTCTTGGAGGACTTTGGTTCACCGCAGGCCACAGCAACCGCCTCTGCAGTGAAAGGCTGTGCCTGAACACACAAACTCAAGGTCATACCCACACTGCAACAAGACAACATGACATGTAGAAAAAACTCTTGATTGAAAGGAATTCTCACTGGAAAAGTGAAGTCTGTCCCCTCAGCTTGGGCCAGCGCACGGCAAACCTGCACGGTGGAATTTAAAATGGCCATCATGGTGATTTCCTGGTGACTCAGAGAGCTTCCCGGCAATATCCTGAAGCCCAGAGCTCCAGTGTGCAGGAGCAGGAAACACAACGCGGCAAACCCTGAAGACATTGCTGCTCAACGGGTGAACAATCTGCTGGAGATGGAAACACGTTTTCCGCTACTTCAGCACTTGGTGCACAGACTGTACGTTTGTGTCTATTTTTGATTTAGTTCTAAACAAATGTGCTCACGACAATGGGTACATTATCCTAAATTCATAAAAAGGTGTGTTAATGGTCAACTGCTAGAGATAACAGAGGTACACACAACATTAGATATGATGACAACATCAATTTTCACTGTAAGTTGTCACCGTAAAACCAACAGACTTTACAATCTAAATTTTGAAGCAGTGAAGCTCCTTCATACCAATAGCATAAACACTCACATCAATAAAGTTCCCTACTTAATAGAACACACCTAATTTGTGAGAACACACAGCATTGCAACAATACATTTTCCCGTTTAATTCCCCATAAAAAACTGATGAAAGAAAGAGCACTTTAAAACAATGCATTTTGTTAAATATTCACGTGTGTTCAAATTGATGGCACTTTTAGGAGCAGAAACCCCCATTTTAACACAAAGGTCCTGCATAAGAGTGTGTGATCTTTAAAATGTCATTTAAAGTTTTTATGGCTACCAATTGAAATTGGTATTAATTGATGAAAAGTAATAGTTAAAGAGTAACATACCTTAGGTATGGACGCTGTCCTCTACTTCAGCACACTGTGCAAAGACCAGCTGTGCTGCGCTCCACAGCTCGGTATGCAGGCTGCAGGACCGGTTCTACCGGTTCCTTTAGATTCATGCACGTTTGTTTGTTTTGCAAAAGTAACCCGTCAAACTGGGACCATGAATGAATTGGGAGACATTGCACTGGTTTGTGGTTTGACCCACTTTGTGGGCCTTTTGTGCTCACCGGATTTCACCTGGAGTAGATAAAGGGAAGTATCAGTGGCAGCTGCCGGTGTGAATGGCGCCGCAGTTCCAATAGTCCGCGAGAAGAAAATGGTTGTAGCTGCGAAACGAAAGACAAAAATGAATAAAACTGCCCTCTTTATGGTATTCACAGGCAAGAGAGGTACACAAGTGCCATGTTTTAAGTGTATCAAGTGTTTCGTGTTGGAATATAACACAGCTAGCATGCTAGCTGAAAGAGACATACAACATAATAAACATAATAATAAAATTGGGATCAATGATAGCAGTTGAACCTACAATTGAAAGGACAGATTAACGGAGCCGATAAACACGATAACGCTTCATTTCCAGCAGGTGGATTTTAATTGCTTGCACTAATTGGGGGACTTTTTGGAGAGGAGCCATAAGAGCGTGTGTTCACAACTCCGCCGCATAGGCTTCATGTCTGTTTGCAAATTAAAAGACTGATTTATTTGGAATGTACACAGAATAACGTATATCCTCGTAGGCAAAGTGTTCCAGATAAACGTCACCCATCATTGGCAGTCAGTCACTATTAATCCAGACCTACTGTAGCTAAAGTAATGTTACCTCAGCACACACTTTCCAAGATGATATATTTTTATTCTAATCCAACCATCGTGCAGTACCGGTGTATGCCACCAGACGGCGCTTTGGTTCCCCACGGTGGCCCCCGGCTGGTTGGTTGACAGCAGCTGCTGTGATGCATTGAAGGTCTGCTCGGTTATGTAAACAGAGCACAGAGAAGCTTGAAGTGAGTTGACAAAACATAACGGATGCATCATCACCGTATTGACAGTTACATTGTTTATTGCCAGTTGAAGGGCCGATGTTTTGCGGTTTCCACTCCTGAGGAGAATGTTTAATGTGTTTCGCTGCAAAGTGCTCCACTAAATGGGTCACGGACTGTCAGCAACTCACTGAGCTGTAACGAGGGGAGCATCGTTTCCTTTTCCTACAGGATTCCAAATGTGTACTGCTCCAATTGTTTTACTCCCATACTAGGACATAGAAGACGTACTTGGTAGTAAAATGACTTCTACTCAGAGTAAGTTAAACCTGAGATCAGGGAAACTCTTATGCGTTCTAGATAGAGAGGTAACTGAAACTGAGTCAATCACCATGGTAACAGACTCTGTGGACATAACCTGCTCGCTGGCAGGTTTACTATAAGAAACCCAGAGTTTCTACCGTCTCCTCCCACATGAAGAAAGCTGGTAGACATGGATTGCCCATTCCTACCAAATCCAATCGAAGCCTCAGTGATTCGAAATGCTTTACGTCGCGAGAGAGTCTTCCGACCCAGATTAGACGTTTTATCATTTCCAGAGGAATTTCTGTTAGAACGCTACCGCTTTTCCTCACAAGGTATCATTGATCTCACTAACATTCTCCGGCCGTATATCACCAACCTCACACACCGCGGACGTGCACTCACATCAGAGCAAATCTTGTGCATCGCGCTACGTTTTTTTTGCAAATGGTAGTTTTCTTTATAACATCAGGGATGCAGAGCACTTTGGCAAGGCAACAGTTTGTAGAGGTGTGAGGAAAGTTCCCCTCGCACTGAAACGCGTGTTTCCCGGACACAAACCTCAAAGAGGAATTCCACAGGATTGCAGGTGACTGATGTAGAAATCATATTATATTTTTTTAAATTATGATGTACATTCTGCTGCGACCTCAGAAGCTTAATTAGCTGTCATTTTGCAGGGCTTCCAAATGTGATAGGATGCATAGATGGGACACATATTCCTATTACTGAGCCTGCACTCGATGAAGGGGACTATGTGAATAGAAAATCCTTTCCCACAAAAGCAAAGTTTGGCTGAGCAGAACTCAATGTTTCTTTGTTTTTTAATTAGTATTTTAATGAGTGTTGGTGTAGGCTACAGCACATTTTAAATGAATTTGATAAGAGACACTTACACATTTTTGTGTACACTGGAATGCTTTATAATACTGATCAAGGGGGACACGTGATTTTTAGTGAATCAAGCTAAAACAATACGGCCGCAGAAAGGCTTCACACCTTTAAAATTCCATTTCCTAAAAGGTTAAAAAAACGGGATTAAGGGTTTTAAAACTCGATTTATTACTTTTCAGAAAATGCAGCTACAACAAAAGAGAGGTGATGCAGTTTAAACAAGAGGCTTGTGTCCAGAGTGCAGCTGTGTCAATTCACTGACTCACGCACCTCACACACAAAAACACAATGGGACAAAGAAATATTAAAATTACTTTATTACAGATCATTCTTTATCCAGTAGCCCTCTTCCAACAAAAAATAGTAATTACAAACAAAATATTACATTTATCCCCTAGACGTTATTTTATACATTTTTCTCTTCGCTATGCGACATTCAGCTTTTTGCACAATCTATACAATTTAATACAGTTTAATAAAGGTCTCTGGATTACGGCGATAAAACAGCAAGATCCACCAAATGACAGGAGAGATAAAGGGAATACTGACTGAAACAGACTGTACAGAGACGTAACCCCGCCTCCAGCCTCCTTTCAACCAATGGCAACCGCCAGTCGGCGACACCGAGGGGCGTCACGGGAGCTTTAATCCGGTCCATCACTTGTGCAAGCAGTGCAACTGATCCCACTCAGTGTCCAAGGTCTGAAGCCAGACTCTCCGACCACCTCGTGCAACACACGGTGGGGATCTGCCACTCGTTTGGCCCCCTGCAGACACCTCTGAAGAACTAATGGCCATGGCTTAAAACCAAATAAAAACACTGCAGACCTGGAAAATGGTTTGATGAAAGATGTTGCAGAGAAAGATGGGACCACAAGATTCTGTTTGTTTTTTCACTTTCTGGAAGTTAGCCAACACAGGCAAACAGGATTACAGATTCCGGGTGGTAAGATTCAAGAAAAGGCCGATACTTGTGGAAATGCTTCGTGTACGACCACCACAAAAAGTCCAAATTGTATTTGTGGACCCAACACCCAAGACCTTGATATCAAAACAACAGATATATTTTCACTGTCTTGTGCAAGAATTTCTGTTGCACTAAACATTGTTTGTGCAGCCAAATGTCAAAATTTCCTAATTCTATAGGTCTTTATACCTTGAAATATTTCAGTTTTCTATGGTAGAACCTTGACCGTAGTCTTTTAAAAAATATTTTAAAAAAACTAAATAGACAGGACGAGTCACCTAAATCGGGTATCATACGGTCAATTAATTATAAGCAGCCATTGCAAAGGAAAGGGCTGCACCTCACCAGATCTCAAACTATGTGCAAAAAACAGCCTCATTCAGCATTCAGCAAAAAGTGGCCCTTTTACTCGAGGCGATCGGACCCGGAGCGGCGCTGTTAACATTCCCACAGAACCCAGCGGCTGTTAATTGAATGTTCATGTGAATACCGCTGGTCCAAAAACCACATCACAACTACTTAATTTGTCTTTGATTTGTCAACGAGATTTCCATATTATCAAATTCAGAATATACAATATTAACAAGATTACTGTACATTCCACCTCTGAAAATCATACAATGCATAATGTCTGCATTTCACAATTAGACTTCCAACTTTATCTATTACTTTATTATAATCCTTTCTTATAAGATTTATATAATAATACATATTCATGTTTTCTTCTCTCACTTAAAGAGCTCTTTCCGAACAGATCAGGGAGGGATGAAGACGAAACCGGTCTCAGGAAGAGGAGGAGGAGGAGGGGGGGGCAAAGGTGGAGGGAATCAGGGAGGTTATTGGTCACAGCAGGACGTCGGGGGCCCCGGGTTTGGAGGGAGGGGTGGGTGAGGCAGAGCGGGATGTCGGACCAGAGGAGGTCGCAGGGTCATGGCAGCGGAGATCCCAGCATCACCGCCCATCGACCCAACGCGTCGCTCAGCAATCCCCAACCAGCAGAGGGCCGGTGATGCTCCCCTCATTCACAAATCAGGCAAACCATTGTTGCCCCAAAATGGAATTCTGCCGTGTTGCTTATTTAAAACCAACCCAGGCAACATCTACTACGTGCATTATTATTAGAAAATTCAGATTTTTTTTTTTTTATTCATTTTTTTGTCTCAATCTCATTTTTTGTGTTTCTCCTGTTCATGCAATCATCAACCAAGTGCGTAAAAACTGTTTGACTGGGGAATAAAAAAATAAAAAGAAATGACTATTAAACGTATCTTTGTGTGTGAATGTGATCCATCAATTATTAAGTGCGAGTGTTTGACATCCAGCAGTGACGCTTTGCGCGAGTGTTGATCCACAGGCATCGCTGTCACCGAGCTACACGGCGCCAGATTGGACCAGAAAATGATCGCAAACGAGTGAGAGGTGAACATACTTTTGTGGTTGGGGGCTTCTGAAGTCCCATCCCTGTCATGAGGCTGAGATACGAGTGGGCGGCGCTCTGTGGAAATCCAAGAGCCAATGAGGCAGAGTATGCACGGATTCCCTTCTCTCCTCCAATCCAGCATTGAACTTGGCCCCGTTGTATTACCTGAACTTTCAATTAAAGTCTCTGGCACGGTCTTATTCAATACCTAACGGCATGTTGGCATGGATAATTCTAATGACACATCTGACGCTGCACCTTTGGCATCTGTGCACCCATTGCTAACTCATTCTAGTACAGCCCTGCTCACTTCATTCCACCGGTTAGATTCCCTCTGAGTCACTCAGACCTGAACCGAATTTTGCAACTTGGGACGTCTCTGTGCTAATTCTTTAAAGTTGGAGCTACCCACTTGTATTTAAAACAAAATTTCTTCTTTTTCCGTTCCAAAACGTTCTGATCTTAATCAGAACGCAATATTACCTCCTGCCTTCTCACCACAAGTGCACATGAACAGCAATATAAAAAAACGTTCCAAACTGTCAGGTGTCCGTCCTTAAATCTCAAGCTGTGAGTTATTTGAGGGAACACATTTTTAATGGGATTCTTAAAATGGCATAATTGATTGCAAAACATCTGAAAGCCTCGGGTCTACCCCTCACTCATATTAAACAGCATGCTGCAAACAGACTTGTGATAAAAACCTCCACTGTAGGTAATATGAAAACGCTGCCGTGGGTCTATGACAGCAGAAACGAACATGGCAAAACACATAAAAAAGCTCTGACATACAGTAAAAATGACACTATTGCACAGTTGCATACTGCAAGTGGCCCTCAGCCAACTCAGCCTCGAGACTTTTGGGTTTCCACAGAACTGATGTAAGAGCTTTGGGGATGGGGGAGCAACTTTCTCAGTACTGTGCATCATGTGTCAAACACACTTGTGTCCCACAGTACATCTATGTGAAGAACACGTGTGGTGCATGCATATTGTGCGTCTGCGTGTCACCTCGGTTCTACTGCACGACAATTGTGTGTTCTATGTGTACGACAGATGGGATCCGTTGGAGATCTGAGAGGTGATGCTGGCGCTCCTGCTCATGCCCTGGTCATTTCTCCCCCCTGATGACGTCCTCCTCATGGCCTGTGGGCTATTCCTCACCCCTCCTGCGCCTCCCGCGCTCCCCCTCTGATTCCCTCCTCCAGGGTGATGGAGGCTCCAGGGCGGCGGGCCCCCAGCCAGCATGGGGTGACCCCAGGGCTGCTGTGAGCTGGAGCCTCCCTGGTGGTGATGACTGTGGTGGCCGCCTCCTCCGCCTCCACCTCCTCCTCCAGACCAGTGGCCTCCCCCCTGAGCCCCCTGGCCACCTCCACCCCCCCAGCCGGCCTGGGAGTCGGACGCCAGGTTAGTGAGCACCATGTTGCTGAAGCCCAGCCGCATGGACTCAGAGTCAAAAGCCTCGATTTCTCGGGCCTGGCGCTCCAGCAGCGAGCGGATCCGCTCCAGGCGTTCGTTCTGCAGCGCCAGCATTTCCTCTTCAATCTGCAGAGACAAACAGTCAGCAGAGGAGTTAAATTCATCATTCATTGAGTGACCAAGGAAAAGTGTGTCATTGGTCTTCGTAGAAAGGATCCAGTCTTGTTTGAACAAAGAAAGATTAACCTCTCAAATGTTTTAGGTTACACCTAAAAACAAAATCAATGCAGCACACATTCTTGCACTAGACGGTGCAAGAATGGCCTCTCTTACTTTCTGCTCCAGCAGAGCTCTCCGCAGAGAGACCCTCTGCTCCAGCTCCCTCCGCTCCTTGTCGTGTTGAGCGTCCGTTTGCATCTTGATCTTGCTCTGGTACGCGTTGAGTAGCTCCAGCTCCTGCTGCAGCTGTCCCCTTAGATCCTGACACTCCGCCTCTTGGGCCTCGTCCAACCGCAGCTGAGGGCGAGTAGGTAGACGTGAAGATGGAATGGTAAAGCTATATGGAAGACCTTCTTTATTAACGCAGTCATTCTAGGCTCCATGTCAGTGAAATATCTCTCAGTTATGTCCCGAGAAAACAGCCATAAAAGCCATAAAACCAGAATAACTAGATTTCATCAGTCATCTGATGAAAGCTCAGTGACATTGGGCTCAATAACAATAATGTGCTCACTTTATTAGGTTCACCTGTTCTATTGCTTGTTAACACAAATTGCTTATCAGCTGCAACTCAATGCATTTAGGCATGTTGACGTGGTCAAGACAACTTGTTTGACAAAGTTCAAACAGAGCATCGGAATGGGGAAGAAAGGGGATCTAAGTGACTTTGAATGTGGCTTGGTAGTTGGTGCCAGACGGGCTGTCCGGAGTACGTCGCAAACTGCTGATCTACTGGAATTTTCAAATACAACCATCTCTAGAGTTTACAGAGAATGGTCAGCGAGAAAAATATCCAGTTGTTTGGACAAAAATGCCTTGTTGATCTTCGGGTACTTACGGCCTGCGTGGAGAGCATTTCGTTGATGGAGTGGTCGTACTGCTCGGCCAGGATGGCCAGCTTCCTGGTCTGCTCCTCCTTAAGCCTCTTGAGAACGGCCTTGTGATCGGACTTGGGCGTCGTCTCCAGCAGATGGTTTCTGAGGGCCTTGTACTGCCTGGTCTGGGTTTTACAAGTATCCTGGAACTGCTTTTTAATCTGAAGCTCTTTAGACTAGGAAACAAAAAAAGGTTGAGGGAAAGTGTGCAGAGGGGTCGGTTACATTTTTGTTCTTTTTTTAATACGAGTACACATACCTTGAGGCTCTTCGGCTGCTGTCGGACCTCCAACACATGCTTGCGCCTCAGTTCCCTCTCCCTCCTCTTATTGTATTCCAGCTGGTTAGTGAGCTCCGTCTGGTGCTGGGTCCGAATCAGCTCTGCCCTCGCCCTCTGGATCGTCCCCAGGTGCCTGATCTCCAGCTCCTGCATCGACTCGTGATGTCTGAGCAGCATGGCGTGCTCGAGGTCCTTCTGTGTCTGTCGTTTGTTAAGCTCCTAAAAAACAAAAGAGGAGGAGAAAATGCTGGTTGACAGCAATCAAATAAGTAAAATCACTCTAGAGACATTGGAGTGAGTGGTGGTGGCGGGTTTGTCTCGGTGTTACTAAGTACCTCTCTGGCCAGATCCTGCTCCACGTTGTGTCTGGCGATGAGGATCCTGCGTTTGAACCGTCGACACTCCAGCTCCAGGTACTGCCTCTGTCTCCTCAGCAGGTTGGCTTCCTCCTCCGCCTGGGAATCAACGCTGGTTAATATCGCGGATTCCACAGACGGTGTCATGTGTAACATGTTGTTTGAGAGTTCCTCACCTGGAAGTGCTGGATGTTCTCTTTCTGTTTGGACAGCCACTCCTGCTTCTCTTTCTTGGGGGTGGACTGGTTCTCGCTCAGTTCCTGCAACACAGGTAATATTTTGCTTTCTTTCAGCATGTCAGGGCATTGCAATTACTGGGCCGTTATGATATTATAGACATTGACACAACGAGTAAATTTATTTATTACTCGCTCAGCAAAAAAGGCATCGGTGACTATTTGGTATTAATCTATTTGTTTAAACGCTTTTCTCAAGCAAAAGTGCAAAAAAAACTACAGCAGAGGTACGCAAATCGTCGATGAGGATTTGTGGTTGTTTGTTGTATTAATTAAGTGAATATATTTGGCTTTTGGACCGATTGTCAAACAAGACAAGTCAACCAAGTCTGAAGACCTCGCCCTGGGCTTTAAAGAACTGTGATGGGTGATTCTGTTATTTTACTTGTACCAAAAGTATAATAAAAAGAGAAAAACGGCATCCCAACAAAGCAGAGTGAGTTACATGTGTTGACCTTGAAAACACTTACATATCCCCAATTATCTATGTCAAGTGTGTCACCTCTTTGAGCTGCTCCTTGCGTAGTTTGTACTCCCGCTTCTGTGATTCCAAGAAGCTGCTGAGCTCCTTCTTCTGCTGCACCTGGATGTGCTGCTGGAACTTCTTCTCATCGTTGGTAAAAGTCTTCAGCTAAAGCAAACACCAACATCAAGTGGGACACAAAAAAAGCATTCGCTTCAGTTATCAGGACCTGCATTGAAAACATTCATGGTTAGCATTGACATCCCAGTACCAGTGGCCACTTCTATTTTTCCGTTGTTCACTTACGTCTTTGTCCAGGGCTGCTTGGTGTTTTTTGAGCAGCTTGTCCATCTCCTGGGTGAAGTTGTTCCTCTGACTCTCTAGCTCTTTGTCCAGCCTCAGCCTGTGCTCGTCCATCTCCCCTTTCAGCTTGTTCTCCAGGCCCATCAAGTGCTTCTGATGCTGCCGTCTCATGCGTTTGTATCCCGACATCTGCTCACGCAGCTCCGAGTCCTGCTCGTGTTCCTGCATCTCACGGGTCACCTGCAAGATAGATAGATACTTTATTGATCCCTCAGAGGGACATTTTGGATGTGGACGCAGGTGAGAACCAGCAGGGCCTCTTCTGGTTCAGATAATGTGAAACAGGTTATAAAAAATAAAAATCTGAGTGGGTGCTTTTTTTTTTTTTTTTTCATACAGAAGGATGAAAACGTACTATTCCTCTGTGTAGAGGTATAACAGAAATGCTAAAAGACTTTAAGTACAATATTTCTAATATACTCAAACCTTTTGTCAAACATACAAAAGGATGTATGTTTATACACTAAATATATCCTCTCCGTTAGAAACACACTAATAAATACAATTAGCAGGTGAGATGTATAGAGGCGTAAGCAGGTGTGTTCTTACGAGTGACGCCGTGCGTATAGTGGCAAAGTGCTCCCTGTTGCGGTAGTGCTTCCTGGGGGCCAGAGCTGGTGTGGGCTGAGGCTCAGAGGGGGGGCTGCTGGCTGCCTGCTCCTCAGAGAAACTCTCCTCTTCCTCCTGGTGACATGAGGCAGCAGAATAAACAGTTACTGTATTTCACGTTGAGGTGGTGGAAAAACCAAAGCGACGTGAGACAAAAGTATTCCAGAAATATATGTATATATCGACATACCGGTTTGAGGTGTATGACGGAGCTGTTGGACATGACTGTGTGGTCTCCCTCCATCAGGTCCAGCTCGCTGCGGCTGTCCTGGGCCGCTTCGTTCAGACTGTTGACGGAGCTGCTCTGGGAGCTGGCGCTGATGGACATGCTGGGAATGGACTGATTACTCCCAACACTGTTCACAGTTCCTGTCCGACCTCCGCCAGGCTCCAGATCCTGGAGACGGCAAGGAAAGAGCACAAAGAGAGACGGCAAGGGAGCAAGGAGAGAGGGAGACATGAATACAAACCAGTGCATGCTTGGTTATTTTTCAAGATGGTATAATTGCATAAATGGATTTCTGAACAAACAAATATTATTCTTGCAACGTAGCTTTAGCTTGATTTTCATAAAAATAAAAAAAGACACCTCGTCTCCGTCGGGGGCTTCTGCTGTGGGCCCGTTGTGGGCCTCCTGAAGGAGGATCTTCTTCATCTTGCGGTACTGCAGATTGTCCAGTTCTCGCACTGCGTCCTTGGTTCTCTGAATAAGATCCATCAACACAGAGTCTGGACGCTCACGCTGTAAAAACGCATGCTGGAGAGGAGGGGAACAGAGCATCATAAAAAGAGTCAACGAGGAAGAAGAAGAAGAAGACTGTTCTCAGCATTCTCAATAAGACAGGCAAAAATGTAAAAAGCCATGGGTTAAAAAAATGCAATGTAAGTCGCTTTGGATAAAAGTGTCAGATAAATGACCTGGAATAGAATGGAATGTAAAGACACATGGCACGGTCACTTCATGTGTACGGCTGTTTGTTTTACACTGCCAACATTAGTCAGGCTCAGTGATCAACGCAACCGGTGTAGTTTGGTTTGACATGCAGATGGCGGCTTATTATCAAAAGAAAAATTCAAGAATTTCCATTTGCAGTTTCCGTTGGGGCAGAGAACTGAAGAAAGTCTCATTGAGAAGCATTTAAACAGTGTGACGTTGAACATTGAAATACTAGAACGAGTATTAAATTTCAGACATTGTGTAGTGTTTGCGTACCCTAAGGACAGCTTCCATTAGCAATAATGATGGCCCATTATGGCCTAAGTGACAGCTGCTAAGTTACTTTACAGTTGATGCAGAAGTCGCATCTCTTCAGTAGTTACATCTGTGTTCTTTACAAAAAAACAAGCTCCGTGTGTGCGACATGTTGTGGTTGTGTGCGTGCTTGTGTGAAATTGAAAGTAAATCAAAGTAGAAGCTTATGTGGTAGAGAAGCGAGCAGAGCAGACATCAGAGGGCTTTGTCAATCCTCCGTCTTGACAAACCGCCCCCGCTCTCTGTTCACGTGTTGGTCGTTCGTACGGCACGTTCGCTCACTCACCCCCAGCATGTCGTCAGAGTGTGGCCTGTCTTGGGGGATTTTCTGAAGGCAAGAATCGATGAAGTTTCTAAAGTAATCCGTCCTGAAACAAAGAGAGCGAGATGTAGTGTGAGACACGGATACCGACAGCCAGTCACTGAAGTAAGCATCTTAGTTGTAGGCGCAAAAAACAAAACATTAGCTGATACACGTGTTTGTAGTGCGGCCTCTCACCATTCACTGGACAGCAGTCTGGGGCTCTCATTCTGCGCTATGTGGTATAAGGCACTCATCGCATTCATGTTAAACAAGGGAGGTTTCCTCTCAGCTGGAATAAAAATGACAAGTCACTGTGTGTATCCCTTCTCATTAAATCGGATATGTTACTATTGGTGAATGAGATCTATTCCTCTTCTCTCCATCCTGGGAGAGGGATCCCGCCTCTGTTGCTCTGCCTAAAGTGTGCTAATGTTTCGGGCTTAAGACAGAAGATGCCCGTTTGTGTACAGATTGTAAAACCCTCTGAGGCAAACGTTTTGCTGCCATGCTAAACAAATTGAATTACCTTTCCCAATTGCTGAATTAACATAACCTCTAATCAAAACCAAATCTTAGTCAGAAGTTAGTCACTGGCATTAGTTCTTGCACTCAAACACCTCATCAAAAGTCCTTTGTTTAGATCAGATAGCATGTCAGGATTTTGTAACCTTTGTACCTTCAGATTGTGTATACAAGTAGATTTTGCACTACGTTTAGGTTATTATTACCAAAGCTCCATTTTAAAAGATGAAATACACACATACGGTCACCAACCTAATTCTATACAGGTGATCCCTAAGGACCAGATATCCACTTTCCCGTCATACTGGCCCTCGTCCATAGCTAGAATCACCTCTGGGGCCATCCTTCATGTGGTAGCCGAGAGGAGAAGTAAATGTGAGAAATAGAAAAGAAATAAATTAGGTTAACAGTCAATTTATAAAAAAAAAAAAGAGAGAAGACGTTAATGGATAAGCAGTCACAGTCGTACTGGGGTAATAATCATATTTATATTACTCTACTAACCAAAAGGCGACTTTATGGTTTTAAAATGAAATAGTTTTCCTGACTCATCTAAGCACTGAGGAAACGTAAAAACTCAAAGATGTCATCTCAATCCTGAGCAGACAACATATGAGATATGCAAATATAAGTAAATACCCTTTACCGTAAACCCATTTCACCAATCCATGATTCTCCAAATAGACCGTCAACATTTTACATTATACACTTTTTTATTTTGATTTACCAATACGGCGTTCCCACGAAGGAGTTGGCAGGTGAGGCAATGGAAGCCGAGCCAAAGTCTGCTAGTTTGACGAGCCCCGGCTCTGTGAGCAGAATGTTACCGGCCTTCACATCCCTGAAAGAGAGAAACGCACCGGCGTCAAAGCAAGGGAGAGCACGGGGGATGTGGAAGTGTTTACAGCCTGCTTACATGTCTCTAAAAAATAATGTTAGGTCATGTAAAAGAAACCGTTCACCTGTGGATCATATTGTGGGAATGGAGGTAGGCCAGGCCCTGCAGTGCACCATGCGTAATGGCAGCAATCTCTACTTCCTGCAACGGTTTTTTATGAACTGAAGGAGATAAAATAATTTGACATGGAAAAAAAAAAAAAAAAAAAATCAACAGGTGAAGACATCAATGTTCATGTATTTTTTTTCAGCCCTACATTTGATCTCCTGCGAAGGGGTCAAATCTGTTTGGCACGGACACAGAAACATGCAACACCTGCTGCTCACCTTCTAGCAGATCTGAGGCTGAGCCAAGACAGTACTCCATCACCAGCTAAAATAAAAATAAAGTCGTGAATAGCTGCGCGTGGACACACAGATCTTTTTACATTGCAGAATGATGTAATCTTCCAGTTGTTACCAACTGTTGTTCTTACCCATGCTGTGTGCTCACGCAGGTAACAACCTTTGTATTCTATACTGTTTGGGTGCCGGATCCTCTGCAGGAACTTGACCTCTTTTATAATGTCCTGCCATTTCTGTTGGGAGAGAGAAGGGTCCATGGACGTAAAACATGCAATGCATCGCTTGGCTTCGTGCACCACAGGTGACCGTGTGCATGCGTGTGTGCAGATAAGGGTCTTGCGGTGCAAATAGGAGTATGGTGGATCTCTTCAGAGATTATCTGTAATCTGATTATAGATAATCTGAAATAACGCAGTGACCTGTGAGTAAACTGTATCTGGGACGACAACCCTGAAATCGAGTGCAGACGGGTGACCTTTAGCTATTTGATGTGAATATTCATTGCAGACATAAGCCTTCTGTTTGTTTCAAATAGAGAAGTAAGTATGCCGGCTGCTTGATGATGGATGGATTGCACAATTCAGGACATTTTGTATTACCGTTTAAAATGTAATCATTAAAACCTTGTTTGATTATGTCCGTGTATTGCCAACGCACGCACCGGGGATTTTTCTTTTTAAGATGACTTTTTAAAAAGGGGAAGTTCCAGTGTCTTGCTGCTATCCACTGATTAAAGGATTACGGTGGTGGTTAGCCCTGAAGTAAGCAACAACTTAACCTAAGGGCGGACTGATCAATAAGGTCAACCAGCTTCTAAAACCAGGGTGGACTGCCGCACAAGACTCCTTAGTATTTATGTTTATTGTTGGGCTCTTTGCAGGTACTCAATTACAACACAGCAGATATACTGTGTGTGAATATATACACGAGTGAGATAATAATAATAATAATAATAATAATAATAATAATAATAATAATAATAATAATAATAATAAAAGGAAAACTGTGCATCAGAACTTTTTAACAATATCACAATAATACAGATAACCAGATAATTTTGGTCACATTAACCATGATATGATATTCTGACAGCATTTCATATCTGGTTGCAAACGTTAGTAGAAGATATACGTACTGCAATTCAAGATCCTGTACTGTCAGAATGTGGCACGGAAGGTGTGACCATGGACTGCATTTAAAAAGTAGACGTGGTCACCGTGATGTCAAGCATTGGTTTGAGGACGGCTGTTTTGAAACACCGAATTCTGCGTTTTGGCCGTCACCATCTTGGCTTATTGCAAGCAGGAGGAGGGAGTTAAATGATGGTTGTAGAGTAAGATCGGAAAGAAGCATATACGTCTATATATATACGTATATATACACGTTAGTTCTAAAGATGACCATACTAATAATAAATCATTTTTGTCATCCACATCAATAAAATCAGTCATCATTATAAAGAAGGCATGTTGCTGCCGGAATATAAGAGAGTAGTTATTGGTAATAATAATTGATCAATGTTTCATTTTTAAAAACAGTTTTGAATAAAGAGTCATGGCATGTTTGTACTGTGTAAAAATGTATACATACATATACATGCACACACAGACACATGCATAAATGATACATAGAACTAATCTTTTCTCACCTCATTAGACTGTTTGCCATTGTAGGACATCTTTTTAATTGCCACCACTTCATTTGTGCGTGTATCCCGTGCCTTGGAAACAAAAAGTAAGTTGTGAGTTCACATCTCAAACATAGCATTCACTGTATCTAATTCTCTCATCAAGGAAATGGCGTTTTTGAAGACCTCGTGTACTTTCGTTAACCAAACTGTGTGGTGTAAAGGACAAAAGTTCATTCAGAAAAAGCTACTGCGAGTCACTCTGCACATTAAAAACCCCCACTGTACTCAAACGGTTTGTGTTCCTTAATAAATTAGCAACACTTTGTATATCTAAGACAAACTCTGGCGAATTGGAATCCCACCAATGTACCTAAACAAAACAAACTATATATTGACTGCTATCTTTGATTGGCTAGTAAAGTAGACTTGAGTTGCAGTATCATTCATGGAGAGGAACACGGCAGCTAATCAAACAGAGATAAATCTGACATAATATTGATCACTTTAACTCCACTATGAGATAGAGTAAAGTTCCCCTGTACTGAACTGACGCAAAAACAGTCAGCGTAAAGAGGAAGTTGCCGTACAAAGTAGACGGCTCCGAAGCTGCCATGGCCGATCTCCCGGAGGTCGGAGAAAAGCTTCTCTGGGTCGTCTTTGAAGAACAGCTCAGACACCTCCGGATCCTTCAGGCTCCCTGCCCTTACAGAGGAGGGCATCCTGCTTATTGTAGTCCCCTATGGCCCACGCAAAGGGGGACGGGACTATCTGAGTGCTGAGCTACGCCCCAAGCAGCTGACGATTCATCTGCAGTGGTTGCTGGGCCTAAGGAACCAGCACAAGGGCACCTACATGGACAAACGGGGGGTAGAGAGAGAGAGAGAGAGAACAGAGCTGTTAGCAAGGGCAAGAGAAAAAGAAAACCTGATCCAACACAGTATGAAGAAGAGTCCATGTGAAGTCAGTGAGGAGACTGACTTTGTAACACAAAAACAAATCTAAAGCACAATTAACTCAAAGACCCGCTTTATAAAAGCTTGATTTATTAGTCAACCATTGAGTAGATCTCAGACTATATAGATAATTGATTCATTGTTTAGAATAATATATTTTTTTAATAATATTTTTTTTATAAGTGTCAATAACTTTGACTTTAACCTGTAATATGTTTGAGTTGTGGACAAAACAGCTAAGATGAAAAGGTTATCTTGGGCTTTGGGAAACGTAGAGCTACATTCACCATTTTAAGTCGACCGCTAATTGACAATGAACATAATTGTAGTTGACAGTCCGATTTCCATCCATTCCAACCACAAGGACGACGTACTGTAAACTGCTTTAAGAAAGCGATGCAGTTTCTTCAGAAAGGTCACAGTCACACCATCAACTGCGGCCAAGTGCATCGGCTCAGATTGTTTTAGCAATTATTGCAGTAATGCAAGCTGGTGCATGACTGCGCGACGCAAATATCCCAGCTCACGGATCGATTTCACGTCCACCGCTATGAGGTAGCCTGCAGTAATGAGGGTTGGGCTGCATGGGATGATCAATCACAGGCCCTCACATCGGACTGTGTGCACGCTCTAAAAAGGAGTGGGAATCCGTTTTGCTCTAGTTAACTCATTTAACAGGCATGTAGGGATATAATTGTGCACATTTCATCATAATTCTGAGTGCACGGATATTGCGCATTGTGTACTTCACCATACACGCTAAACTACTAAAGAGAGTTCCTTGAAATAATCTGGAGAAACCGTTAGAAATAGAAAAAGGCTACATTGGGTTAAAATACAAATCAGAATATCCACGCCCGGTTTACTGCTCTGATGTACATAAGCTGCTTGTTCAAATCATTCAATCATCATCGGCTTTTTTCTTGAAATATACCAACATTTATTGCACACATTTCGAGCAAAAATACGCTGCGACCAGGTTGATTATATATATAGGAACTTTCTTGTTTGACATTCTGGCTGGATGGTAAACATTCCTGACATGTACACCTAAAGAGCGTGAAGCTGAATACAAGTGCTCTCCTCTCCTGAACCTTTCCTATTAAAAGAGAACCACCAACACACAGCATTAAAGAACTACCCCCTTTTTTACAAGCTCACCTCTTTGTCTTGTCCTCAGCCGGGCAGAGGTCGTAAGTAACCCGCTTCACACCTAAACACAACTCATACGTCGGAGAGACAAGTGGGTGGGAAATAAACCAAAAGAGGCAACTTATCTTTGTGGATCTGCACAACACACCTAACCGGTGGCCCGCTGCAAAAACCACAGTGCTGCCGGATGTCACAAGGTTTGTCCTGATGAAATTATTATTAATTATTACTATTCAGCTGACTGAAAGAAAAAAAAAAAAGTGAAACTTGTATACCAAGCTGCAATCACTTGACAACTAACATATTAACCATCCTAAACAAGGCTGTCATTTTTGTGTGAAAGGCAAAAAACCTTGAAAGAGTTAGACAGTAAAAAACTACTACAGAACTCAAAATGATTCATTTCTCAGCAAAGACCATACGGACTAAATAACAATCGGTTACAACACTAATGATGTACTAACAAAGCATGAACATCAGGAGGGACAAAGCAACGTTGTTAACGCGGTCAAAGCTTTACGTACTTCCCATCCATTCCTCATGAAAATGTCTTTCCTGAATCAGCACGCTCTTTGGGGCAATATTAAGACATCCAAACAAAGAATCAGCTTTTAATCCAAACTGTGACTCCTCAGTGCACTTACAAGGAGTAGAAAACAAAGCATTATGAACGATTCTCAGGTCTTCATTAGGTTGAATGGCGTAGGTTAATTAATTCATGTCTCTGTTAAACAATGATTGCCCGTCTTCAATACTTTTTCAAACAATACCAATTATGAATATTTAGTTTATATTTCATGTTGCGTCATGATCTAAGAGGGATGCAGTGCAAATAACAATCGTGGTTCCTTCATTTGGTTTCCTGATGAAATGTATAATTCACCACCAATAACTCAAAGCATAACCAATTGAAAACATAAGTTATGCTAAAGGCGATGCTTTTCGATTTACTCATATAACTTAACCACACCAGACTCGACTGAGGCGGAGTTTGCCTGTATGTACAATCAGGTATCTTTCATTCACTCCCCCCCGCACAAAGTCATGAGACTGAATCTGGAAGAGACGGACTGGACTGCAAACCGTGCAAGCGCAGGATCACAAAAGGACTGTGTGTTCAAGAAATGCCCCGAAAGTTGTTTTGCCTCACTGCTCGGGAAAATGGATTCCCTCTTTTTGTATTAGGTGAATTGATTTCCTCTGTGCTGTAAAATCCCCAAAGGAGCCTAATGAAGGGGCAGCCAATACACCAAGCGGAGCAGCAAGGCGTATCATGGAGGGGATGAGAAATAATCAAATACTTTATTGATCCCCATCGTTTAATTCTCTCAGCAGCACAGGTTCGGTCGCAGAGCAGCAGAAGCTTTCCGCCGATATATAATAAAATGTGGAGAGGATAGGTATACAAGAGGGGCACACAAAGGAAAAGCTGATTAAAACCCAGCCCCAAAACGTACATCATCCATCCTGGTTATTGTATGTTTTCGCTTGTTGAAATTGATAAGGACATAAAACCATTGATTATTATGAAATTATTATTAAATCAATCAAACGTGGCACTAATTTGCTTTTTAACTTAGCACTCGACTTACTACGGCCCATTACGCCGCCTTTTGGCATACTGTACTTTATCAACATCTCCCCTACTCTGGTTTCGCCCCACCTGCTGAGGCAGAACAACTCGTACCGTAGTGATTCTTAAAATAAAATAAAGGTACATGGAGTTTCAAGCTTCAGCCTTAATTGTCAGCTAGAATAACCAATATCACCTGTGTGGGTGTGCAGTGCATTTACACCTTTTTACAAAACTGGAAACTCTGTGGAACTGTGGAAAATGATACATATTTACTATCATGCGCATTTTCAAAATGTCTTTTGGTAAGATGCTAGATTACTAAATAATTCAAAGTTGGAAGGCAGAGGGCGGATTAAACGACCATGTATCATCCATAACTGGTCCACATGAAATACTTCTGCTCTCTTGCCTTAAACTGGTAACAGAGTTGTTTTAACAATATCATGAACATGTCCCTGCTTAAAAGACTATGAGCAAAAAAAGCTATAAGCTGTATATCTTTAGAGACAAAGTTCATTTCAAGACTTACATGTGCGGCGTTGTTCAAATTGCTTTACATGAGACGCCACATTTCCAAGCCCCGGGACAGAAGGCGGGGTGTCTCTGCTCCTGCTCCCCACACCGATCACAGACTGTGGCTTTCACTGAGTGCAGGAAGGGAAAACTCTCCAGCTACCCAATGTCAATAACAACACATCCCGATCGGCGTTGCCATAAAGATGATGGCGACAGAGGACAGGAATGGAGTGACCAAGCAAGAGGATTTGACCCATCCCATTCCCTCCCTGAGATCCATTTACACGCTTCCTGTTGTAACACATGTCGCGCGCATCGGTAGCAGAGCAAGTTTCTTCATCACAACAGAAATTGCGCATGTGCCGCTAGCCCGGTCTTTGTCAACAAAGAATTGATAACAAGACACGCAGAGGGAGAGCCACTTCATTCGTGGCTCTGTTAGAACTCCACTATAGCGTAACATAGTAAAAGGTTGTGTGATTGAACACTGATGTTCCGAAAATAGAGTTGAGCACCTTCTATGTGGACCCTTTAACTTCAGAAAAATGGCAGACGGTGGAAATTGTGTCGTTTGTGTGACCCCTCCTCACTTGTCTTCGTTATCTCGGCCTGACTCGTCAGTTATGTGATTTCTATCCAACTATTGAGCAGCCCACCTCAAATGAAGCCTGTGAGCTGATACTTACAGTCCTTTTAAGGAATAGTACCGTAAATTTATCATTTCACTTTCTTTTTCTGAATTGCCACATCCGCCCCTGTCTGTTTGTTTAGTTGACACAGGGAAAAGAGAAGACCGAAGAAGCCTTACAATCAGTAGGCTACATGAGGTCCATAGAATGTGAAAAAAAAAAGTTCTCGGCAGATCGTTTTGTGGGAACTTGTTCTGCAGTGGCCAACTTTCACCGGCCATCTCGGATCATTAGCGCGCAGCAAGCAGGGCAGGCTTTGCTCCAGTGTCTAATCCATTTTCCGTGGGAGACACTTTCATCCATTATGCAGTGTGCCCTTATCCCCCCCCCCCATCCATAACAACACTGGCGAACAAGAAAACCCAACCTTGCGTGGGGTGGTCACGCATCGCGGCGATCACAGTCGATCATCAGCCACCAGCTAGTCCTTAAAAATGAAGACGGATTCAAGTTCAAACCTACGAATTAACTGATGTTTTGAGACGCATGCAAAACAGGTAGACATGAAGAGGTGTAACGTATCCGCACGGGTTACAGTGAGCATAGGAAGTGTGTGATAAACAGAGCAAGAGCACTAGTGATAAGCTGCAGGCTGCAGGCTGCAAGGGTAACGTGGACAGTCTGTTCCTCTGTACAGAGCAACAAAGGCAGGACTGCAGTGCTAATGGAGGAACATAAACAGCAGTGTATAACAATACAGAGCATGTGTAGGTGTATCAGCCATCACATCTTCAACATCACAGTTGACAGATCCCCGTTTCTGTTGCGTGAATGGCAACGTGAATCAGTCCTATTAAAAAAAACAGTTTGTGTTCAAATCGTTGTGTTGCAGATCCAGCGTGGCACGCATTAAGTTGGGCGCTAACAGATAAGCCGAGAAGAAGAGAAACACTATCCTGCCGGAGTGGTGTCCAGTGTTACGCAACATAAACACGGAAAACTGAGGAATGCGATTCACGTCGATGCACGAAAACCGCCATCGGCGACAGATGGATGCGCTCCTCGCCGCTTACACCACGACCATCGCAACCACTTTGTCGGGGCTCTCCTGGCCAACGATGCTTTGTAAAAAACAATGTCAGAGGTCTTCGTGCGACAGACACACACACACACACACACACACACACACACACACACACACACACACACACACAGAGTCTTGACCGATGTCACCTAGCGTCACACCGCTAGCTATCCGAACGCCCCCCCCTCCGGCCCCCGCAGATCAAACTTCCCAACAAAAAAAAATAAACAGACGCAATCACAGCAGACTTTCCCCTTAAAGTCCAGTCACAGTGCACGAAAACAAAACACCAGGGAGTGGCACTGCTCGCGGCGATAGTTACAGAAAGCGGATTAGCGAGCCAATGTTAGCCGGGGCTAACGCTCATCGGGCGAAGCCATCGTTGACGTTACCAGTATAGTTACAACACACCAGCCGCACGGCAGCGTTAGCTCGCTCGCCCTGCTCCCCGTCACCATGCGTGTGCTATGCCGTTACGTTGCGCTGTCAACGAGGCGAACAATGAGGAGAACTAAAATGCGTCGGTCCGACCGGCCGCACAAGTTGTGACAGCAACTTCTGGTTAGCTAGTTAGTTAGCTAGCTAGCTGCCTAACTCGCGAACCCGTATTTAAATCACCGCAGCATGTTGTTGGAGGCGTCGTTAATTAGCACAGAGATAAAGTCAGCGACCGACTCACCTGCTTTAAATGAATCCACATAGGTCGAGCAGTGGGGTGTGGACGGGTGATTAATCCAGTCAGAGGATTTGGCTGACACTTAAATCACAGACGAGCGCAATGTAGTCCGTGCGAAATCAAAGTGTGAAATCGCAAGCTAACGCGTTGGCGATGCTAAACCGCTACTCTAACCACATACGGTCGCCCTGCACGACAAAGACGGCCACGGTGACTTCGAGTATAACGGTGGCTGAATTGTTCACTGACAGCAAATGACCGTTGTCTTTGTCGTACGTGCCGCTCTACCGCAGGAACAATTAGCGTTACATCAACGTAAAGCAACCTGGTGACGACAGCCAAGCGTCAACTGTCACAACGGCGCCGGCGAGCTAACGGCCAACAAGCTAGCAGCTAACGTTGGACGCCGTCTAGCAAAGTTTCCCAATTCAATAGACAGTTGCTCTAAAAAAAAATGGCGTCGACGAGAATCTCTTCCATTCCATCGTCGGTGGAATTAAACGAGCAAATCGGAAAAGCCGTAAATCGTAGCGGTGCAGTCGGCTTTCACTTAGGGGAGAGTACACGTGTGACAGTTGTGGAGTCTTGTTGACGCTGTATCCCACAGGGATAATGTACCCTCCCCTGATCTCCCCCAGTTCGGGACTGCTGTGCCATCCGGCAAATGCAAGTGTGGGTTTGTGGTCTGCACGGAGAGAGACAAACACACTGTTCATTGCATGTCAACACGTCGTGCGATTTGCATCACCCAGTAGTGTACGTTCTCCTTGCTCTCTAACCTGATTATCAGGTCCCGTCTTAATCCGGAGGCTACTATGAATAGCCGTTAAACTAACGTTGAAAACTGTGTGTCCCACCGCAAAGACAGATACTCTCGAGATGTCAGGGCTGGTTGTTCATGGAACCACAACGTGCGGATCATCAGTCCTTGACCGTGATGAGAAGATGGTGTCAGTGGGTCGGAACACCATAGTTTCTTCCAGTAACAGTAACAGTGTCAAAACAACGCAGTGCAATGGTGTAGTGACATTTAACTACGATGCTATTAGATTAGATCCTGCTCTAACCTATGAAATCATATGGTGCGTACAGTACCGCATCGACCTGGCGTGAAATGACATGGCCATTTTTATATGAATTAAAAGTTAAAATGGACATATGGCAGAATGTGCCATCGTTTCAGGGGAGCCCACCACACCTGTCCCAAACAGTTCCCAAACAGTTTGGGAGTTGCCATAAATCCATTGTTGTTTCACTGTCACTTTTACACCATGTGATGTGATAGCATCAGGGAAGCGTGCGTTTGTGTTGCTAAAGCCCTTGTTTATTCCCCATAGAAATACATTTTATTAGGGTGTTCTGGTTATAGCATGATCATGTCAGCATAGAGGGGACACCACGTCCGAAAGGATTAAACACGTAACCGCAATCTGCATGCAGAAAATATAGGATACATGCAATGTGCATGGCAGGAAAGGGGTTAAAGATGGGCATTCCACAACAGCCTGCAAGCCGAGGAACCAATCAGCTGACAGAACGGGGCTCAGCGGGCTGCGATTGGTTTCCCGGTAGCCGTGTTGTCATGATGATGGGAATCGGGTCCTGTCTATGTGGTCTGTATCCAGGCACAGAAGTACCCTGAAGCACAATGACACGGATGGACACGCAACTTTCACACACGCATTCACGTGTATGAATATATAATGTTCATGCATGAATCCCAAAATATGACAATGGTTGTTTATTCAAACGAGGATCTGAACATATTCTGCTTGTTTACAAATGTCACATGAAGCGTCCTCTGAAGATGCATGTTGACAAGTATTCGCTTGGTATAGAAGAGTGCGTTAAATCATGGGAGTTTTACACTTGATCATTTATCAGCCCTAAGCCCATGTCAGGACTGAACAAGAGCAGTTCGGTGTTTTGAGGCATTTCTAGAAAATAATCATGTCCATTTAACTTTTCATCCTCATGTTCTGTCTATTTTGATCAGTTTTCCAAGATATTTCCTGTAGTTAAGGGCTATACCCAAATTGCACTCTTTGTCTTTTTTGTTTCATCGCTCCCACTGTCTTCTACTACCACATGAGGGCATCCATCTCACGGTTTTGGTAGGTCAGAGATTTATACACATTATTTTTCTGAGATATTTGGCCAGTAGTAAGCATTTGGTTATGTCTTGGCAAATTATAGGTTGTCTTTTACTGCAGGCATTAGACAGGTTAGATAGATACAAAAGACCTATTTCATACAATATCACCGAAACATGCCATGAAAACCTTTTATTGATGGATGATGAATATGTACTATTTGTTGAATTGACATTTGCAGCAGAGCAACTCAACACAGGAAACTGATGAACACTACAGTAGCACTAGAACAGAACAAAAAAAAAAAGGTGTCACTGGTTTTTACAGATAATTGTACGTCAACTGATGATGGAAACAGTAGCGGGTACAGGACCATCACAAAGGAAAGGTAGCCTCTTCTACATACAGTATTGTTCTACAGCTAAATCAATATGATCAAATTTTGAAGGGGGGTATGATGCCACATAACAATAGAACAAAAAGTGTAGATTACAAATACATTCCGCATTTGGACACCTTATATGCACAAAAAAACAGCCACTAAGACTCACAAGGAGTGAAAGCAAGCACACAAATACTACTGATGGAAATTGTACATGCTTTACTTTGCAATTAAAGGAAAGTGGGAGTGTTGGGAGTTTTAGAAAAATCACACTGTGGAAAACATGTGAATAAAATGAATGTATGAAAAGGCAAATGTCTGTGGTGGTATGAACTGAAAAGCACAAAAGACTAAAGCTCCCAGTAAAGCTGAAGAGAAAATAAAGCAAAATAGACTCCAAGCTACTTGAAACATGTCTAAGAAAAACAGTATTTGCACATCTTGTTTTCATACTGTTTTGTTTTCAGTGATGAAAGGGGTGGAATTCCGTTCAAAGGAGCAAATCCTGTAGTCGATATATAGCTTAACATTCTGCAGCTGAAAACACACTACAAACCAAAAGAATTGACTTATTAAATAGCATACATTTGCTCAAAGCCAGAAGCAAATCATTTTTCACAAATACATTTAAACCCAGATCTGTAAAAAAAAGAAAGAAAAGGTTGATAAAATCAAGGTTTTTCAAATGCTTATTATCAAGAGTCAAGAAAAAAAGAGAAATGGACCACAAGGAGGGAACGGAAACTTTCTACATGAGCTCAAAAACAAGTAAAAAATCAAAAACTGTCAATGAAAAGGGTAAATCACTCTTTTGTTGTTGTTGTTGTTAACTCTATCGAAATGTGTCCTTAGTATCCAGACTTAATATTAGTATCAAGCTGGATAAAGCACAAGTTTCCAAACGGACATTAAGCACTTCCTGAGTTTGCAGGAAATACCACAGCTGCATGGATCACTTGGGAGGTGTGGAAGTTGCGCGAGGATTCATCTGACCCTCACGAAAACCAGCCACTTTTTAAAAGCTCTACTGACCGACCTCCAGCCGCTACTTCTCTCCGCCTCCTTTTATCCGATGGCTACTGAAGAGGCCAATGCGGTCTTTGCGACTGGGCCCTAAGAGAAGTGTGGACGTGCCAGTTACGGCTTTCAATCAACTAAATGACCGTACGCGCTCACCTTCTCTCGGTCTCTTTCTGCCGTCAGCATCAAAATTTTAACACTGCTCGCAGAGTACACACTCACCAACTAGGCGCGGATGCTCAAGGCTGGACCAGAGCGCTTACAAATCCGACCACTTTTCAACCCTCTTTCCTCCTTCCAGTCCAGCCTTCCTGAGACTTGTCAAGTCTCTCTGTCTCTTTCTGGGGGAGCCCACTGATCTGAACATTTACACACACACACAAACACACACTCCATGAGAAGGGAGGGAAGCTGATTTAAACCACCCTGTTCTCTTTTACATTTGCTTGTATCCTATGAAGTGGTTCTACGCTTTCTTCGTCATCCGCTCTCTCTCCCCTGCTCTCTCGTGTGTCTTCTCTCGTGGCTGAGTGGCAAGCAGGCATCAGCAGTTGGGTTCTTCTGACTCCAACCTGGTCTGGTTCAGCCCACTTTGGCCCAGCTGAGGAAAGCGGGGATGTCTCGCACTGGGACGTTGCGGGTCAAGGCTTTGACGCGCAGGTTTCGGTCATCTGTGAGGAGTACAACCTCCCTCTGGAGCCTCACTGTCCCATCTGTGGGTGGGGAGGATTAGCAAGAGATACACTTTGACACGTGTGTGTTAGGAAATCTGTACAGTGAATGAATGACAGGCAATGTTACGTACTCTTCTGATCAGGCATGAAATCCTTTGCCTTGTCTTTACAGTAGTGGAGGCAGCAGGACAGAATCACATCATCATTGGTACCCTGAGGAAAATAGAACACCATGTCACCAAAAGAAATCCCAGTACAAACATTTGATGAAAGTAAGAACTTTCAATCAGGAGTCAACCACGGCTTCCCACCGAAAGAAAAAGCCTCATGTCGTTGCACAATATAAAAACCAAATCCACTAAATGTAACTCAAAAAAAGAGATACAAACATTCTGAGCTGTAATTATTTGGGCCCTCACCTGCTGTCCAGAGGTGTCTTCACTGCGGAAGGCAATAGATTCAAGCTGATTTCCTCTGCTTGTCAGGGCTCTGAGGAACGGTTCCCTGGCTTCGAATCCTTTCTCCAGGAAAGCCACGGCCAACCGGGCCTTCTCCTGAACGGCTCGCACATGGGCCGCGTTAACGTTACCGCTGCCCCGGCCACCGGCGCCACGTCCTCCCGAGCCCACTCCTCCAGCAAAGTTGTCCTGGCCTTTGGCCAAACCATCCAACTCTGTAATCACTGTGGGAGAGAACACACGGCACTATGGTCAAAATAATAAGTACACTTTACAAAAGATCCTTTTTTTCTACAGTTAACAGTTGAGAAATGGGGCATTCTTATGATTCTAAACATGTCACACCACAATTTAACCCTCCTTCATCCAGTCTACTAGAGCGCGTATTCTTCCGCTCATTTATTTTCTCCTTTGGTTTCATCAGTTTCATCTTACCGATAAGTGGCACAACTATTATGTATGTTCCACACTGAAGGAGTTTCTTCAACCCTCCCAAGTGGTCGATGAATCCATTTGTATCTGGAACCAGAAAGTGAGGCCTCACTTCCAGCTCGAGCTGTCCGCTTGTCTGCAGCACCGCCTGGAACGCACACATGTTAAATTTGTTAATGTTTATTCTCGTAACATTCAAATATTACCATATTCAAATATGTGTCGTTAGGAATGGATACGTCCGTTTTACCTGTATTTTATCCCTACGCTTCTGTTGCTGAGCCAGTTTGTTTGTGAGAACGTTGCGTCGTGCCTTCAGCTGTCTTATGTCGTTTTCACTGTCGCCCGCATCGTCCTCCCCTTCTGATGCGGAGAGAGACGACTCTGCCTCGACTATGACATCATCAGCCTGCCAAACACACAGGTAGGACATATTTTCCCATTTTATTTCCACTATTTATGATTAGATAAGATAATCGTTTATCAGTCCTGCAGCAGGGAAATTCACAAGATTATAGCAGCAAAGGTTCAAGTGCAAACAAGAGACACTGTACAAGAAACAAGGTCAAAACTATTATGAATAGTGGAAAAATCCATCATAAATGAAGTTAAATATTATATATATACAGAGAACTATTATAGTTCTGACAGCACACTGCACACTCTTCATTAGTTTATTTAGTCTTTGCCTGCCAGTTGTTAAGATGCCGCTGCTCCAGAAGACCACTCCAGAAAAAATGTCAGTCAAAAAAAGTCCTCAGAATGTTCAATAAACACAATTTAATACAAAAGTCAGAGAAGAAAACATGGAGGGAGCTCAAGGAAGAGAAAGACATTTTAGAGGAAAAGTAGGAGAAAATAAGTCACCTCTTTCTCTGTGAGGGAATCCTGCCTGCTCCTTGTATCCATTGAATGGGTAGGTGGAGAAGTCGCCACAGAGATGTATTTGCCTCCTTTGAAGGCCAACAGAGGCTCTTCCTGTCCACACAAAGCCTCCAGAAAGTACTTCAGCACCATCACTCTCTTACAATCGGCTGCTATTGCCTAAGGAAAGAGAACGGAAGCATATGTGTAGGACCGGATAAGGTTAGTGGAACGGGTCCAATCTAGCGTGTTGCGGTTCACGGAAGAATTGTCTTTTGCTTCGCGGGAGAAGCAACACGTACCAGTGTTACATCAAAGAGAAATCCGTCTTTACTTTCCACTCACCACGTCCGTGTGTCTGTCGGAGTAACAGGGCTCCAGTGGCGCAGCGAGCAGCGGCACAAAGCCAGCGAGCAGCTGATCCTCCTTCAATTGCAGCACGGTCAGCTCCTCATCTCCCTCAACTTCTTCAGTGTCGACTTTGTACAGCGGCACTTCCTCGTGGTCGACCCGTGCCAGCATGTTGCACAGGTCGGCCAGGCACTGCCAAACATCAGGGCTGCCACTTGGAGGAAAAAGCCAAAACTAACTTTAAAGAACTACAATCTGAAACGAGTTGGTATGTGTGGTAAGTAGAGGCTACGAGCACAACCAATAGCAGTGATATGAATACACTCTGAATCAATACGAGCAGTATAAAACACATGCATAATGTTGTGTTCACAACTCCTTTCCACGGTTCTCAAGTGGCCCCCTTAAAAAAAATGGTTTACTGCAGGTTTGAAATGCTCACTCTATAGTGCAGGGTGGTGGGTTCCACTGGTCTGGTTGCCCCAACATCCAGTCGGACCAGACCTTGATACTTGGTAGTAGTTCTTTAAGGTCCAGTGAAAAGGCAGAGACCCGCACCATACCCTCTAGCTCCTCCCCTTTTCCCTCCTCCTCTGCGTCTGCCACGGGCACTGGTTCTAAAAGAGAAACGGGGACATTTCTTTTTAAAAAGGAAGACTTAATAGACCTAACTTCTGTGTACCTGGACTAGGTATGAATAAAGACCCTCGGCCTTAGACATGTGTCCGAATGTGATACTCATGGAGCTTTCTGTCCCCCGACCTGCAGGAGTGTTCCTGAGCAGCTCTGTGCAGCGCTGCACCAGTAGTGCGAACATGCCGAGGCCCAAGGCGGTGCTTTGCTCTTGCAAAACGGACCGCACGTCTCCCACTTCACCTGATAAACAGAAACGAGAACTTAAAACAGTAATTCCTAACATTCTTCATAGAAATATTGTGAATTCAAACATATTTTTATTGTTTGGAGTCAAATTTTTAGCAATAAACCAAATTGAGATGTTATCCAGAGGCCATGTTTATGAATTAATTAAGTAGATAAACACAACAAATATGACTTCAAGGCTTTCATTTACTGTCTGATAATAATAATAATAGAAAAATAAAGGTGTTTATGTGCAGAATCACCTCTGCTGTGGGCATTGTATATAGTGAACATGTTGATGGTGATGATTTGCAGCATGTGTGTGAAGCCCAGTTGGGACGGGCCATGCTGGAGCAGCGTCTTGAACTTCTGAAGAACTCTGCTCGCCACTCGAGGGAAAGATTCCATGCTGTGTATGCAAGACATCGATTCAAAAAGATTACAGAAAGAAAAAAAACAGACAAATGTGAGACAATAATTCATAGGCTCATTCAGTGTGAATTGAAGAGCTGGAATACATGAGACAACACTCACCCCACTTTAGTGAAGAGCTTTCCATGAGCATGCAGGAAACTCAAAATGAATCTCTTATTTAGCTGGAGAAGGAAAAGAGACAGATGATAAAAAATGTATTACTAATCCGGGGTAAACGCCATCTAGTAACGGTGACAAAACAGAGTGGTTTGGAGAGGATGTCACTATTTAAATGCAACAGAGGATTTGAACAATTGGGGTGGAAAGGGTACTGAAGCTGGAAAGAGCAAAGCGGATACACATACAGATGCCTCTACCAACAGGATACATTTAACACTAAATCAAAGTAAAATACACTGGAGAGATACCAATAGATTTGTTAAAGGGTCAAGAAAGTATTGTAAGTAATCTTGAAAATCATAATTGGAAAACATTGTGTTGAGTGACTATCTATGTAAGTTGTAAGAGAACACACTAGTGATTGGACCAATGAGGTGCAGATAAAAGCCTTTCTATTCGTTTTACTGACTGCGTTTCTCTAAGTGAAATCCAAATTCACACCTGTAAATTATAGCTCATCGCCATGGACACCAAAACTATTATTAGAACTATCAACGGGTCAGCTACAGAGAATGTAAAAAAAAAGGAGGAAGAAAACAACAAATATTTGGTAGAGGGAATAGAAATAAGAAGATAATGGTATGAAAAATGATGACCTTTCAATAGAAAAAAAGCTCTGGGCAGCAACAAATTATTCCCTTTGTTATGAATTAGCCAAAGATGAATAAATGGTAGGGTACTACCCGCACCTAAAAAGGCAGAGGCAGAGAATCCTTCGTCTACATGGAGATGGTCTGTCTCATTTATTTGCCATTTCTCACTTGGCATAAGTTGCAATGAGTGCATTCATGTGATGCCATGTGTGAGGATGAGGATGTGCATGTGAGTGAAAGAGAGAAAGACAGAGAGCAAAGAAAGAAAGGTTCTTACATCACTGGCGCTCATACTTCCCAGCTCTCCATCCTGCTCAGAGTCTTTGCTGGATTCACTCCCTCCCCTCTGAGCGGATCGGGTAGCTGCTTGTCTACAAATCCAAATTTCCACACGAGCTCCATCTTCCCCTCTTGCTCTACCTCTTACTGCCGGCCCCCTCGAGCCTCCTTCGTGCTCTTGCCTCCTCCTTCGCTCAAGCTGCTCATCCTACAAGACACAAAGTCTGTGAACTTGAAGCACTAGCGCTACCTAAAGAAAAGTGGTAGGAGATTTGGGACAAGTAAAAAAACGTCTGCTTATGTCTGACCTTGCGCTTAGCTTCCTCAAACAGACTCATCAGGCTTTCCTTTGCCGTCAGGATGGGGTTGGAGGCTGCCAAGCTGCGCATGTAATAATACACGGCATCCAACTTCCGCTTCTGTAAATGAGAAGCATGGAAAGCAAGTAAGAGGAGGGAGGCATCCTCCAGAAGGACGCACGCTGACTGGGTGAGAACAGAACATTACTCTTTAAGCTGTATTTTTCATTCATCCTATAGACATAACTGGGAACATACAGGGACAAAAACAAAGTTACTCAAGTTATCCAGTTATGCCTGCAAAGAGCTTTTTTCACACCAACCTACTATCCCTACATTAACTACACATCACTTACTGTATAGACCGCCAGCAGGGCCAGCTGATTATATGGTCGGCCATTTTTGGGTGCGATCTGCTGGGCTTTGAGGTACCAACTGCAGGAAATTTAAAATGTGCAATCATTGGATATGGGATAAAAAGGCTAGCACCGACCCTGAGTTACATAATTATTACAATGTAGTCCCGACTCAGTCAAAATGAAATGTTCAATGACATAACACATTGTGTGCTCATGAATGTGTGTTGAATTACAGCCTACCTGCGAGCCTTGCCATAGTTGGCAGAGTCACTGGCTTGTTCCCGGTAACGGGCTATGTCTCCCTGACAAATCATGCAACGCTGTGCACTGATAAGAGCATACTTCACCTGAAAAAGACAGAAACACAACAGAAACTTTCAATTCACAACATAATGTGTTCAGTTGGTGGATTAGCACGGCCATATTCAAGCGTTTATTTTAACATGCATAAATGATAAATCTTGCGCACACACAACCAAATAGAGCCTGAAAGGATTAGTGCTGTACCGTTTTACGTAATGGCCGAGCCCTGATCGCCATGCCGTCCATGTAATCCTCTAACTTAAACTGGTACACTGTCTGCAGCTTCTGAAGCAGCCCATCAAAGAATAGTGCCCCCTGTAAAACACAAACAATGATCAACAAAGACATATATATATATATATACACATACACACACACACAAGTATTTCCAAGATTCCCTGGCAGCATGTAAATTACCTGTTTATGAAACTAGTTTTGGTTAACTGATCTGGTGCTTATCCGAATACTAAACAAGGTCACAACTATGTACCCCAGGAGGTGCCCAAAGAGCATAGTTAGTAATACTTTATCCTGATCGGTTCCAAAGCAAGAACACGGCCCACGGCTGTGCAAGTTGCAGTAACTCTGCCCTTTCTCACCTCATCCAGCAGCGTGAGCAGCAGGTTTCTGATATGAGGAGTGTTGTCACACGTTGGGTCTTTGAGTAGCTGCCGGAAGCGCTCTATGACCTGGTAAAAGACATTCTTCCACAAAGACTGATCCACATTCTGCGAGTCTGAGAAGTCGATGTCTCTCAGGATGATCTGCTCGTACACCCCCAAAAGGTCAGCTCTAGAAAAAGAAAGAGGGCATAACAGGACATTAAATGAAACTAGCAGCCAAACAAGTGCAACACAAAAAAAGTAAGAAAGAGTAAAAGAGTAAAAAAAGACCACACACAAAAGGAAGAGGGCCACTGACACATCTTTTCCTGTCCTCACCTGAGCTGGGTCATGCGATCCAGTCCGTCAACACTCACTCTGTCCCTGGACAGCAGGTTGCTGAGCTGGAGCTCCTGTGCATCCGCACCTCTCAGCATCCTGCCGAGCTCTCCTCTAGCTTGTTGCTGCACCTCTTCAAGTGTCAAATTACCTCCCGCACCAGGCTGCGAATAACCTGCTCCCCTGTAACTCCCACAGAACTGACCCACGCCAGCAACTGGATACATACCATTAGGGGGAGCCATTTGGTATGGCCCCATATGATAAGGATATGGATAGCGCTGGTTGGTGGTGGCGCCAGGACTATGTGCGTTGCTGGTGGACATGGGGTAGCAGTAAGGGTTGTCAGAGTTTTGGAATTTGTAGAAGGCCATGGCAGCAGCTTGCTGCGTTCGAAAGTGCTCCCCCTGCGGGACCGGAGGACTGCCTGCTACCTCATCGTCTGTGTCCAAAAAGTGAAGTTGGCCGTATCCAGTCCCTGTCTGAAGATATACAGGCTGTTGGAGAGATACATGCTGTGAGGATTGGGTACTGGCAAGGGCAGGTTTCTGGTCGGGGTTATTGGGATCCCAGAGTCGTCTCACTCCACCTCGGCCTCCTCTGCTCCTGCAAGCGCCTCCGCCCCTAATTCCACCGAAAAGAAGCCGTTGTCCAACCTCGGGTGAATTGGAGATGTCTGTGCGTGCTGGAAGCACCAGGATACCCCCACCTCTGCCACGAGGAACCAAGCCTGGCTTGCGTTGTTGTGACGTCCCGCTATGTGACGCGGTACCAGACGTTTGTTCAATAGAAACCCTAAAGATGCCCCGACCTCCCCCGTCGTTTCCTTTTGGTCGGTTCCTTTCCTCCCTCCGTCTCTCTGCACTTAGGTCCCCTCCTACGCCTCTTCTCCTCTTTCTATCTTCTGTTTTGTCACTCATCTCACTCCCCTCCGGTGATTCCGTGGATGACTCCCCATTGGCCGTCCAGCTTTGTAAATGACTCCTTTGTCCTACTCCACTTTTAGCAGTCTTGTCAGTATTGTGCACCAGTGCCAAGCGGCTATTCTCCACAACCATCCCCAGACGAGGACCATCCAAGCTGGTCACACTGCTGGCTGAGCTACTGCTGTATGTTCGATTCCGTGAGCGCCGAATATCTGATTTGGAATAGCGTTTTGAAGTTGGTGTGGTGATGTTCGCATTGGATCTGTGTCTATTGCCTCGTTCAACTGGCAGGTCTGCATTTCTCCCTGCCTTAGCATCTTTCTCTGCGGCTCTGGATTGGTTGTTGTTGTCTCCTCCTCTGCGATTCTCTTCTCTTTTATTTAGTTGTGCGACTCCAGTCTGACCAGCTTTGTTATCCCGATCTGCTTCTCTCCTGTCTCTTTCCATCTCAGCTTTCCTCTGGTCGCTCTTTCCTCCACCACTCGCTTCATCTTCTCTCCTTCTGGAATCCTGATTCCTCTCCTTTTCCTTTTCCCTTTCACCTCCTCTTCTCCTGCGGTTACCCCTTTCCTTTTTCTTCTCTACCTTTTCTTCCTCCTCTTTTGTTCCTCCCCCTTCGTCTCTCCTTTCCTTATCAATTGTCTCCCGTCTCCTGCTTAACTCTTCAACGACTTGGCCTTCACATCCCACTTCATCCTTTTCGTTCACACTGAGTTGTTCTACTTTGTCAGTCATTTTATCCACTGAAGCATCAGACGGTAATGGGCTTTCTTCCACACCTTGGCTCCCATGCTTTCCGTTTGTATCTGATTTAGACAACTTTATGTTTTCAAGAAGACCTTTTACTTCTTTGGCTTTTCCTGCCTGCTTCTGTATGGGACCTTTTTTGTTACCCCCCTTTTCCTCTGTACTGAAAAGGGATTCTGGCTCAGTTTTCGGCTTATTCTGCCTGGCGGGAGGCATTTCCTCCTCTTTTCCAACTCCCGAGTCTTTTCCCTGGATGCTCCTGCGGCTCCCAGGTTGATAAAATTCTCTGTCTGGTTTGCGAGCTTTCCGCGTTGGCTTAGCACCTTCTGCAGCTTCCTCGTGTTCTCTGTCATTTTCAACAAACGCTTTCTCTTTGTTTGCTTCTGATTTGGACTGTGAGTGAAAGCCCTTTCTGTGGCTACCGTCACCTCTCATTCTATCTTCTTCCTTTTTGTTGGCGACTGCCACGTCCTCTGTGCACACACGACTCTCTAAGACTCCCCTTTTCTTACTTTGCGATGGCTGACCATGATCAAGTGAATTAGAAGTCAGGGGGTCAGTTTGGCCAGTTTCTCCCCCTTCACTGTCACGGTGACACCTTCTCTGTCCAGCTCCCAGCTGGTAGCGCTGCACCTCATGACGTTTTCCTTCACTCTTCCTGTGCTGCTTGTTTACTAGATGCTCCTTCGGCTCCTCTGCATAAACAAAAACAACAATCAAAAAGACTGAGTATGGGTGTATGTCAATATTGCCTATGAACAAAATAGAAAATCTAAAAATACCAAGTCTCTCAATAATTCCTGACATCCCTTCTCTGTCTGTGGCACTCACCCCCGACCCAGTAATTTCCACTGAAGATATATATTGTTCAAAATGTCAACATCACAAGTTATGTCTAACTGAAAAATAGTCACTGGAGAGGTGAACTTTTTATGTTCAAAATAAGAACCTCGACGGTACACGGACAAGTGTGCTCATTTAATTGAGCAATTGAGATAAAAAAAAAAAAACAGTTGTCTTCGGGGAAGCTGTAACGTTTAACAATTGTTGACGTCATATATATATATATATATATATATATATATATATATATATATATATATATATATATATACATACATACATACAATATAATGTATTCGTAAGAGTAATCAACTGCGAGGTTACTGGAGTAAATATAATGACCAGTACGGTTATTAAAAAGGGTTAACGTCACGTCATGAAAGCAGTCGCTCATAAACTGCCTGGTGTCATTAAAGGGGGCGTTTAAAACAGACCGCGCGGGACCAAAGAACGGGTAGGCAGTTAGCTAGCTAGCTAACAACATTAGCTGGTTATAAACTTAGCAACTCCGTAGGCTACTTCGCGCTTACTTGGAATACTTCTGTATTTGAATTTATTGACTTTTCCACAATTACAATTCCATCAGTTATCCGCTTTACTTAATCTCACCTTTGTGACAGTCAGGGATATCGACTGAATTCGACGCTAAAGCTCTGAGTTCCGCAGCTGAGATTCGCACTCTGTCCAGCTCGCTCGCCATCTTTGCTTCAACTGAAACAACAAACACAACAAGTACGGTGGCCCAACTAGATAAAACATAAGCGTCAGCAGTCATAAAAGCGAATAGAGGTTTTTTCTCTCGGAGCTTTTTTGTTCATTTCATTTATATCTGTATTTGAATTTCATATGCATAGAATGTGCCCTTATTTTTTCTTTTGATGTAGGCCAATTGTTGGTTTTGCATATAACAAGGTCTTGATATCCTTTATTCTATTAATAATTTACAATACAATGTATTCAATTTGTTTATATGTCTATAACACTTATTTCCCCTAAACGTGTTTACATAGAATTGTGTTAAATGATTAGATGGATTAGAAGTTTTCCAACCTTGCACTAGGCAAAATGATTAGATTGTAACACCCCCTTGTTATAGATTCCTTGTTCGTTTTCCTAATAATTTAGATATTGTTAGACATCTAGTTATGATACTCATTTTCTGTTGTAATCTGACAAAATATATGTCAGTCTAAAATGTTATGTAATATTTACGTAGGCCTTGATCTACATACAAGGACTGGGAAAAGAGGGCTCAAAGGTCTTCCCATTATCTAAAGAAACGTACAGAGATCCTATATACATACACACCCTCAATTCAACCAAATAACCACTAGATGTCAGGATTGACATCTAGAAGTTCTTATTTAACTTTTTAGCTTCAATGTCGTGTTACCCCTTGGATAGGCCCAATAAAGAACTTTCTCCCATCTAATTTTGCATGCTGTCACATTTAAGTAAATGAAGCAACATCTTCTCCTCACCACATTTTTTCTCTCACGTCTTCCACTTATGACTTTAATGGGAACTAACAAATTGTACAAGAATGTTAATTCCGGGCACTGCAGACAAGAGAAACATACGCAGAAAGACTGGGAAGTGCATGTGTATTTGGGTGATTGTGGGTGGAGAGCACGTAGAGTTCAAGCAGACATCATCGGTGAGGCTGATCTAGAGTAAACAGCTTCATTTCCCTAGCAACACCAAGTTAAAGGGACAGAGACTCGTCTTCTTCTTATAAATCTCCCACACACGATTCTTCATCCAGAGCTAGAGCAAACCTCCTCTTTTTCCATACATGCTCCTATAACCTGTCACTACATAATTCATCCAAAGTGCTGGATAGCTCACTTCTTCGGCATAGTAATCAGAAATGTCTACAAATACTTGTGTGTGTGTGGTTATAAAATAAGTTTATTTAGTCCATAATTGTCCATTACAGTATACCAACATATCACGAAACAGGCAGTCAACCATTCAGTTGGGTTATTTATACAATTTTATAGACCATGTTTTTATCTACAGTGTTTGTATTTTCGGTTTTTATTCAACATGTTTATAATAGTGGTAGTAGTGGGTTTTACTATAATTTTCTTATTTCATTAATGTTGTTGTATATTTCTATTCTATTGTATTTACTATTTTAGCTAGAGCACCTGCAATGCAAACTTAGATTAAGGTGTTGATCGTGAGTTTCATGATTCTCAATGATTCTGATTCTTCGCTGTTTTTAATTACGCAAATATGTCGGAGGTATAAACAATAAGCCACATTGCGTGTGAGCAGAATGCAGTTTTGATGTAGTGCTACCAGTGTCTTTTGATGAAGCTCTTGCACACCAGGGGTTGTAGCATGTTTCGTGTCTGCAGTGGAGAGGTGTGAGAGAAGAAGAGGGGGGGCGCCGGAAGTGGTGGGCGTGTGTCTCCCTGTGTGCGCGCGAGTCTGCGCGTGTGTGTGGGAGTGAGCGCTCGTGCGCATCCGCGTATGTGTGCAGAGTTCTGATTGTCAGTGCTGCACCACGGTGCAGGTAGAGCAATGCAGAATGATAAGAGACACAGAAGGACAGAGAGGGGGAGGCAGGAAAATGGTGAGGGAGGGAGACAGAGAGAACGAGGAGGCGAGGAGGCATGATGCAGGAAGAGAGAGCACGAGGGGGGAGACACTGTGAATACAGATGAGAAAAGCGGGGGAAGCAGGGAGTTTTTTTTTGCAGGTGAATTTCTGACACCAGGGGGTTTCTCCAGCTCAATAATTCCTCAATGTCTCCTGCCTCCCCCCCTTTCTCTCTCTTTCAGGCTGTCCATCTGCCCCCCCCCCTCCCCACTGGGCCACTGCGAGGTTGGAGGAGATGACTTTTAGAGATGGAGGAGGAAGACGGATGGGGGAATAGAATCAGCAGAGAAAGGTGGTGAGACCAGGGTGGAACATTGTGGTTGAGGATGGAGCAGATTGAAAACGCTGGCGTTTGAAATCGGTCTACAAATAAACAAGAGTGAATGTGACGGGAAGATGAAAGTGAGATGACTGAAATGGGATAAGTGGTGAGGGAGACAGAAAGGGAAAAGGGTGTGTACAGGACAGACAGACAGGAAGACTTGCGTGACGCTATTTGCTGGCACTAGATGTTTGGAGTACATCCATTTGACTGGCTTTAATGTATAATTCACAAAATAGGGTGGAGGGTGACAGGGGCGGAAAGAGCACAAAGGCAGAGATAGAGTGACGTATTGCTGCAGAGGACCCATAAGAGAATAATCAGAATCTTAAACAAAGAAGGCAGAATTACTCACAAGTTGTAGCAAAGAAAGCTATTGAGCACTTGATGACCTGATTCAGTAAAAGTTTCATAATAACTGACAACAAAAACTGTTGTGCACCAACAACACAATCGTAAGCCCTTAATATACCATTTTTAAGTTGCCTCACGCTTGTTAAAGCACTGTTTAAGTCAGTGTTTTTTCAGGATTATAGTGTTCCAACTCTTCATTGGAGATGAGTAAATATTTAAAACTTCATATGTTTTAAATGTTTGTATTTTCCCACCAAATAGTAATATTTGTCTGCATACATAGTCTATCTTGTTGCCCCTTAATGGATCTTTGCCTTAAAGTTCTCCTCATTTGATGAATATTTTTCCGCAGCAAAGAATTCTGCAATCAATAGTGGCCTCCGGTCTTATGCCTTTCAATGGGGTTTTAAGTTTTTCTAATATATGTATCCGGGACTGGAACACAGGGAAATGAAATTGATTGCAAACAGCACGATTTTGTAATGACTTTTTTTTTTTCTGTCTTTGAAACTCCCTCATTTTCAGTAGGCTGTGTAGACGCAGGATACACGACGCCCACGCTCGCGCACACACGCATACGCACATACAGCTGGCGTCGCACGGTAATTTCATTCAGCATATGACTTCGGCATAATGTTTGGAAGTTTTGTGTGAGTCACTGTTGAAGTTGCAGCAGATGAGACAAGGCCGTTAATGATTTAACAAAAGCAACGCCCGTGTGGGCTCCTTTTGCCACTGATGCTTTGTAGATGTAGAATGAAATAACGGGAATAATCTTGCCATGTGCATATCAGGTAAGTCAGTTTTGCTGGAGCCATTAAATTGGCTCCGATGGCTGAGGAACACATGTCACTGAGCAAGTACAGGCACCATTACACACATATGTCCTCCTCCCACCTGTCAGACAACCTTACAAACACACACACACAGAGACACACACACACACACAAATCTACAAAGTTTCTGACTAGTTTCACAACATCTGTCACTGCCTGGGCGCGTGGGTGGACACGGGAGTCGCTGTGTGTGAGTGTGGGTTTGCCGTCTCGCAGGCCAGAACGGAGGACGGAGACGGTGGAGGCATAACGACGCGGGGGCGAGAGGGGTTTCACTAATAGACACCTACTCCTTTAAAACCTCCACACCTCCCTTTTCGACACACGGCCCCACCACCGTCACACAGACGCTCCTCCTCCTCGAAGGCTCTCCTTTTACTGAAACCTCATTATGGGCACGTTTGCCAGAGTCCTCGTCCTCCTCCCCGTCTCCATCCCTCCCTGTTTTTTTTTTTTTTTCATTTGCTCATTCTCTCTTGCCCTGCTTACCGCATTTGAGCCAGCTTTGCAATCAAAGGGAGAGAAAACACAAATGGTAGCGGAGGGGTAGTGTGCGCGTGGGTGGGGGGGGGGGGGGGGTGAGAGGAGGCTCACTGGGAATTCAGTGTGAGTCAGAATGGGAGCAAGGGAGGTGGGAAGGCATGGTAGGCGGTTGTAAGGAGAGAAAGGAGAGTATGGGAGGGAAGAATTTGTTTTTCTTTCCGTCTTATCTGAATGCCATCTCTGTTCGGAATACAGATGAGGATACAGAAAGTGAGCCAACAACCGGGCAGGACAGACAGATAAAAGGTTTGAACTGGAAATCACCTGCACATGATTTTCAATGGAGCCTCCAGATACACACCTGTTGAGAGTTGAATGTGAGATGAATGCCTGAGGACTGATAACAGTAACTGATAACTGAAAACAAGAAGCAAAAGACGATCTTCTACAAGGGATGAAAGAAAGTTAAAGTACATTAAACGAAAGCCGTTTTTGTGTGTTTATGTCACCATGGCGCCAATAACCATGTACAATTAAGGAGGGAGTACTTCTTTGACACTTTGTCACTTACCACCCTACTTGCACACTCATGTGGGTTGTAGAATGAGAAAATGAGTTTACTCAGCATGCATCCACAGTTCTGAAAGATTAAAAACAAGGTTTTGCATTTTTGACCTTGCCACTGTAAAACATGGGACCAGCTTGTCAGTTGTGTCACCATTCAACCAATTCTCAAGTGTGTGAAATAACACATACCATAATCTGATATCCACAGGTTAATCCCCCAAAATGCAACAATGTTTTTACGGGCGACGTAAGGACCCAGAAGCGGTACGACAAAGCAGCAGCAGTAGTCCAGCACAGAGTCTTTATTTTTCACAAGACAAACACAGGTGGTAGAGTCACCGGGAAAAGACGTGGGCACGGAAGACGGCGTGAAAAATAATAATACAATACTACTGCGGGGCAAGGCGCGGTAGTCAGGCAGGGTCGGCACCCGGAAATCGGTCAGAGAGAAGAGTCTGACATGCTGCTCACAACGACCTGGCAGCGAGCGAGTGGGTGGTGGGAGTCTAAATACTGGAGGGAGCGAGTGGGGTTGACAGGTGAGTGTGACTATCAGGTGCACAGAATGAGGTGATTAGGCTGAGTGAGAGGTGGAAATGACGGGGTAGAAGTGACAGAGCTGTGAAGAATGGGCCTCATTCATCAAATGTGTGCTCAATTCCCACTTACGCAGTCACAACGACTCTGGCGTTCAATGTTTTTTTATTATTCGGGATTGGTTCTTAGGTAAGAACAGAATTTACGCACGTTATGTTATTATCGTCCCAAGAGCACTCTTACAAAATTGATAGCTGACATGTTATACCGTTTGTCTGTTCTAATTTAAAATGAAATCTCATTTATAATTAACGAATTATTTATTTTACACATGTCTGCTTGTTTCAATAAATACACACACTTACATTTCCGCTCATTTGTAAAGCACTTTGAATTGCCACGGGATATGAGGTGTGCTATAGGCCTATATAAATGAACTAGCCTTGCTTTGCCAATTCACATAATTTATGTTAACAAGGAACCTCGCCATCCAATAATAAGTGACTGGTCATGGTATTTACGGGCCATGTAGGTCTATTCTGCCCACTAGGACTACACCACACAATGGCGTATTTACTGCTGCTGCAAAATGTTGCAGATCGTGCCCTGAGGGAACGCATCTTCCGTGACCAGATTTATTTCCCTGAGTGTGCACGCGGCCCTGTCATCTCATGCCCTTTTATGGGAATTAAGGGGGCGTTAACCTCTGCTAAATAGGAGCAACGGGGCCCAAGCTTTCAATTTACGACATATTTGGATTCATCATTCTAAGACCGCTCCTGTGACCAATCCCGCTGTTTAGGAACATGTCATAAATCACATGTACTTTTCTTTAGGAACTTTAAGAACAAATTTAAGGTCGGTCGGTCGGGGGCGGAGGAAGGTGTAACTACCCAAGACCACTGGATGATTATGAACCTGTATGCTAAAGGCACTAGCTTGCTACCACAATAAGTAAAGCACGCTGCTACAATGGATGGCTATGGTGGGTTTATTTTCCACACAATACAAACAATTACACACACAAGTACAAAGACACGGGATAGGAGGACTAACCGGTAACAAGGCCTGTGGAGTAGGGCGGTGCCAGCAGTCTGTCAAAGCAAAGAAACAAAACAAAGGACCCTAAGCTTCTCTAAACCTACCTACCACAATCTAACCTATCACACCACTTACCTTACTGCTACAATACACTGGGCAACAGCCGCTAACTTCTAATCTAGTGTAGGTAACAGGTTCTTCCTACAGGTGTATGTAGACCCCAGGGTATCTTACCTAGCCCTGTTCCACAGCGCTCTTGGGGTAAGTACATAAACACAGACCTGGGTGTACAATAGACCACAGTTTAACAAACAACATAAACCATATAATTTTTCAATGTTTCAATCAATGTCAATGACTCAATCTCTCCCAACATCCTCAAGCTCTCACGAACAAACATTTTAAAGAGCAGAGCTGAGAGCTGGATTGGCTGGAGGAACAGCTGGCCACGCCTGCATCGTCAGCAGCAACCCACCACACCTGTGAAGAACAGACTGGAAACAAAGACATGGGGGAGGAGAAAACACTAATAGAGCAGCCAGACGTAACATGGTGAATGAGGCCCAATGAGTGAGAGGGTTCTGCCTCTAATTATCTTATGGTACAATTTCAGAATGTTGATATCTTGGCTGTTGGCATATGACAGAGATTGTAACCTTTGTCTGTGCTTGGATCATCTCTGGTCCACACTCAATGTTAAAAATCAACCACCAAACTCCACAGGTGAAGGCCGAGTGACAGGAGGTGTTCCCTACAATTTGTACCAATGAAGAGTCAATGGACCGAAAATGCTTTTTTGCTGCTTCCTGTCAATTAACTCTACTCATTGTCATTCCAGATCCTGTCATCAACAAGAACCGTATTCTCTTCACCTGGTCCTCATGCCCTTCCCACCTGCAACCCATTCCCTCATTAGCACCTCAATATATAGGTCCCCACACTTCCACTTGTCCTCTGCCAGATTGTCTTGTGTGCATGCCAAGTTTTCCAGCGGTTTCCAGCATCTTTCCGATTACAGATGTCCTGACCTAGCCTGCCTTCTCTTGACCATGAACTCTTCGCCTACGCCCTTTTTGGATTTGTTTGCCTGTTGTATTGTCATCCTGTTTCTGAACCCTGCCTGTCCCCGTTTACGGGTTTCCTGCCTGCCCCTCTGGATTTGTTTGCCCATTGGACTGCTATCCCGGTTTTGACCCTGCCTGTATAAGTAAAGAACTTTTGATTGGATTCTGCCTCGGAGTTGTGCTTTTGGGTTCCAATACCTGTAACCATTACAGTATTAAAGAAACATCCTCTTCGGCCTGTATATTATGGATTTTAAGTGCAGAGTGGAATCATTATTTACCTTTCCCATGAAATCTATTGTTGGTCAAACGGGATTCCTCTCGTGTGTGTGTGTGTGTGTGTGTGTGTCCGCCCGCCCGCCCTGGCTGCTGTTTGGAGGAATGCACGGTCTCAACTCATACCGTGCATGACCGTGTGCTTCCTCAACTTATTGAAAAAACGCAAAGGGGACATTAGTCCTTTGTCCAAAGTGAACCTCTTTACGCACAACGATCTCCCCCTGAATGTATCATCGGGATGGTCTACGCACGAATGCCGTCACATCTCTGCAGAGGTTTCTACTCTCCTAAACTGGGTTGGACAGTTGGGTGAAGTTTAACTTATGAAATATCTTCAATATATAAAAAGACACATCAATGCACTGCATTAAACATGTCCATTCACAGCAGCAGTGATGATTCATTGCCTCATCTAAACATTTGGTTTGCTTAAACGATTTGGTCATTGTTATCATTCGGCAAACTCCTTTTGAACATATTTGTGTGTCACCTCTGGAGACCTTTTTTTTCTTTTTTCTTTTTAAATCCACTTCGAGAGGATTGGATCTGTAAGGTTGTTGTGGGTTGATATATTTGAATGGTTTGAACATGATTGATTACTACTTGTGAATATGTAAAAGTTTGCACTTAGAGCAACAATATCCAATGACCGAAGCAAAAAATACACAATCTGAAATGCATCCTTTGTGAAATTTAGGGGTAATTATGTTTTAAGTAAGCCGTTATGGAAAAACGATTGTCCAGACACACCAATGAGTGACTTCAGAGACCTCAAATGTTTATTGGAATATTCATATAATATAAAGCTTTATTATTTGACATTTCATCATAAATAGCCACATACAGAGCAAACAAGCTATTTTCATTATTCCCTGTTCCAGCGGTGCACAATGATCGAGGCTATACTTTCCCTCCCCCTTATAAATAGCGTGCGATGACGTGGCACACGCACGTACATGTGTAGGTGAATCTTTGAATGAGCTCTCCCTCTCCACCTTCCTCCCTCTCTCTGCCCCCCCGTTCCCTCTCTACGAGTTACTACGGGATCACTATAAAAAGCCTACGGTTGAGGGGAGAATCCGGTCTGTGTGGAGAGCGACTTTGGTGCGTGAAGACGGCAATGGCACCGATTTGACAGGTTCATTTTGAAGAAGAGAACAAGTTTAAAGACACAGACACACAGCAAGAAGGCGCAGGCATGGCCACAGAGGGAACTTTGACGGAGGTAAGTTCAATGACTAATCCTACAGACCTGCTTTTGTGTGACTGTGTCTGGAGACCTGGAGGGGAAAGAAAATCCCCTCTGATGAAGTGCAGCCTGGAGAGAGGGAGTATTTGACTTGCTTAATTCCACTGACGCGGTTCCCAAGTTGGTGCAGTGTGACTCATTTTCTCTCCCATGCGGGCAGAAAGAAAAGAAAATACTAAACAAACTGCGGGTCAAAAATGGCATTTTTGAATGTGTTTTTTTCTGCCTGGTTGCGGCTCGATATGTTTCAAGAACGGGACAAATACACATTGATATTGTCATTTTTTTCCCTCCTCACGATAAAACCGTTAGTCGCTGTTTCGGTTGCCGCTTGCCTCTTAAGCACCACCGGATCCTCCGGTACTCTCCATCCGATGTGCCAAATGCCCCAAAACACAGAGGCGCACATGCCTCTCCTGTGCGCGTGGCTGTGCGTGTTTCGTGTGAGACGGTGTCGGGGGGAGTGCGGAGGCGGGGGGGGGGGGGGGGGGGGGGGGTGTTCCTCACCAACCTTTCTCTACATTCTTGGGAGCGCGGCACCGGGAGGTTTCCGGTGGTAGTGATGACATTACAACCATCACTTTCTTCCGGTGTGGCGGTAAACTCTTCGCCTCCTCCTCTCCCCTTCCTCCTCCTCCTCCTCCTCCTTCCCCCTCCCCTGTACGCTTCCGGTCGGCTTTTCCTTTTAACTTTCTTTTTTTTTCGGTCTCGGTACTGTGACGTAGTCAGCTGGTGAAGTCAGCCCTGCGTCATTCTTGCGCACTTTGCAGATGATGCGCAGTCACCTACTACAGCCCTTACATGGGCATAGTCCTCGCGCGCGCGCGCGCACGCACAATGCGGTGTGATCCTCTGCCGTGCCCCCGCAATGGTGAACGCGCGATGGTTGACGCTCGTGTGCGAACAGTGGGCGGAGCGAGTCAATGAAACCCCTTGTTCATTCACAACTCGTTGTTGGGGCTGCTGTTGCACTGACGTTGATCAGGCAATGTTAATTAAAGCCTGGCAACCTTAGATATTGAAGTATTTTAATAGAATATGCAGGGAATAAGAATTAAACGGGTGTTAATATGTCACAGTGCAGTAGGATACCAATCGTATTCGTCCTAGTGAATGTTGATGTGAGTGTAATGCTCAAATATCGTCAAGTAATATAAACGTTTAGATTGGTGTTTTTTTTTAAATTTTCAAATAAAATTGAATACGAACATCCCACAAAACCCAGGCTCAAGCACGACTCACTTTCCTTTTATGGATATGGTGTATTTCACTGGATGCTCGTCAGGTCCAGCACTTTCTCCCGGGTGCCATGGAAACCGAGCTAGACCAAGCCGCTGCCTACGCGCTCTGATAAGCCAGGTGGCAGAATAGGACGTGAGCCGATTGGTTTTCTCTTGAAGTGACGTCATCTGCCCGTGCACTTGGGCACGTGACTTGTCGAGCAGAGAGACGCGTGACGGTACTCCTCAGCAACATCTATTCGTTATTGATATAGCAGACTGCAGAGCCTGTGGTCCACTCCGGACGAGGCTAAGTTGAAGAAGGGCTCTTTAGTAGGTAGTAGGTAGTGGGGGTGGGGGGCAACACTTTTAAATTAAATTTGTCATGAGGTAAAACACATATTGTTGTTTTGAACTAAGATTTGGGTTGTTGCCGTTTTTAATCAATCTCTTGCAAAAATACAAATGTAAAAATGAGACCTGTGTCGTCCAACTTCAGCACCGCAGACAGCGCCGATGAGTCGCTGTCCTTCCACCGAGGTGCTGAGACACACTATAAGGCAACCTGTTGCAGAAATACTCTGTGTTTAACATGATAATTGCTTTTAAGGATTGAAATTCATCTTGGTTAAGTGAAATTAATTGATTTATTTCACATTTATTCTTCATAGAGAGATAGATTGATTGGTTGTTACCAATCATTTCTCTAGTTATTAAGAGGTGAACTGCTGTGAGTCGTCTTCAGGAGTATCTCATTCATTTAATTTCCTGGTCAAAGAACCGTTAAAAAAAACACAGTTTATGTATGTTGAGGGGAAAAAAGGAGCGAGTGGGATTTTGTAAATGAGTGGGACAGATTGACCCATTCTTATTCAATAGTTACCTCTTCCAGGCTGCTTGATAATATAGTAGATAATACTCTAAATAATCTTAACCTCATGGAAGGTCAAAGTTTTGCAGGGATATTACTAAAAAGTTCTCCTTCTCTTGTGTTGGTGACTCTTATTTTGGCAAAATTGTGAAACTGTACTCCCCTTCCTCCTTCTATATTCTTGTTTCTCTGCCTGACTCACTCTAGCGCGCGCACATACACACACACACTGGTGGATGATGCTAAATGCCAATCTTGCTAATAGTTTTTAAATGCATATTATTACATTCAGATACAAATATGAGATGATTTGATCTGTTTACATTAAATGTGGATTTCAAAACAGTGTAACGTTCAGAAGATTTGCTGTCTGGTTGATTTATTTCTATTTACTCATTTACTTTGTTTCCATCTTTGTAGTGATATATTGTTTCTTGCACGTAAAAAGCACCGCTGTTTTTAGCATCTACTCTTCCACAATTACTATCTACGTCACTGGGATTCCCCTCGTCGACAAAGGCCGTATTGATCAGCATCCACCTCCTGGGAATTGTTACAGGCTTGAATTCAGTAATGTTATACCAATATTCTCTCCGCAGGTTTCCACAACGGGAGTGTTCGCCCTTTCTTGCCATATCTTCCCCCCTCACACGGCCAGAGCATCAGCACCTTGGCTTTAGACTGCTTACTGCTTATACAGTGTCACAGTACAGTAACAGTCTACAGTCATGGCTACTGAAGCCTGGCAATGCAGCAAAACACCACACTGGCAACACGTGCGGAGGCCGTGCCGGAGTGATGTCAACCCGAACGGAAAAATAACATCATGGAAAAAGTGTTCAGTACGCTCTGTATGTTAAATATTCCCTCTCCTGCTCCTCAGCTCAGTGAGGAAACCTGTGTGGGCTTGCATTGGGGGGAGTCCTACACCATGTAAGTACGTAATATCAGCGAGCGAACCAATGAGACCTGCGGTTTCTAGTTACCATAGCAACTCCGGCTCTCCGTCCACCCTGCTGTCTCCATGGCGACCGTGGCTTTAGATTGTTACTCTAGCAACAGCAGCATGGTAACAGTCTACAGCCATGGTCGTTAGGGGCAGGTGACATCTGAAATATAAAAAGTTGTATGTATTAATTGAGTTTGTTAGTAATTTGAAATGTTTGTGTTGAAATGTTCTCAATTTAGAATGTCCGTTGCTCATCTACAGACATTACGGTCTGGAGGAGGAGAGTTGACAGATTGACTTGTTTATTGCTGCACCTTTCCCTTGATAATACATCAAAACTGCATTTATACCGTGTATGTGTGTATATATAATATATATATATATATATATATATATATATATATATATATATATATGGTGTTGTACTTCCATTCAGTATCACAATAATAAACATGGAATCTTTCTAACACCAAACACAGCTTAACTACTAAGTTTGTAGTGACACAAATGGACACATGAGGCTTTTCACTTTAACTTCATTAGGTTTGACTATAAAGCATAGTAATGAATGCAAAGAGCACATGCTGAACGGATGAGTCAGCCAGCTCCAACACCTGTTCGCCTCTCTACCCACCAGACGAGAGCGCACTGATTTATTTTTGTAGAACAGCCAGGAATTCCCAGTAGGCACCACTGTAACACTGGGCCCGATTCTAACCAACATGTATGCATGCTCACAATAAACTCACCCACAAATAAAGTACTAGCCCTTGGCCAATTCATGGAGCACTACTCTATCATAATAAGGCCTATTCTGCCCTCTAGCGGTAAGGATTTGTCTATTTGAACCAGAGCTACTAAACCTTTTCCCAGATGAAACATTGGGAGCAAAATGCATGCCTGATGTAATTGAACAAAATGAAATAATACATTTAACAGTGTTTCGGGGATACTTTTTTACACATGTACCTTTCATTGTAACAACAAACATATATTCAGTTTTCTCAGTTAACTGGTAGATGCTATTTGAGTGGCTCCAGATTCCACCACGACGTTTACAATCAAGGTTGATTCGTCCTGTGATGTGTAGCAGCTGTTCAAACTCGATGCAGCTGAGGTTCTTCAAAGGTTTTTGGGGAGGAGGGGGTGGGGTTGGGGATTGCTAAAACCAAAAAACACCTTACAGATCACGGCTGCACCAAGGTAATATTTGGTTTACAATACAGATGTGACACACAGCATCGTCACAGGCTACAAAGCATAATGAAGATTTACAGAAGCTGTTGAGAACTATCGCACTCTTCACTGCTTCCTGCATCATAACATTAAATTATCCCATTATACATCGTTTCCTTTATGTGTGCTGGTAAAATATTTGCTGTGTGCTGACTGATTGAAGTAAAGCAAAGAAAAGAGAGGTAAAGAAAAAGAAAGTTAGATGAAGAGTTGTTTATTCTCTTCCTCCCTTAACCGTAAAAGCTCATGTGCTGACAGATGAACAACAGCACATAAACTCTTACTGTTCAGGGCGGAGGAGTTAAAAGGGATCTGACACAGAAATACAACCATGCACCTGTACATGATTGTGCACTGTACATTCAACTGATCAAATGATCTAAGTTATGAGAACATGCAAATTTGTCCCAATAATGAAAGCAGGTCCCACATTGTGACTGTGGAAAACGTTTTTGTGACTCAACAAGTTGTAAAACACACACACACACACACACACACACACACACACACACACACACACACACACACACACACACACACACTGGTGAATGATGCTAAATGCCAATCTTGTTAATAGTTTTTACCATTTAAAGGTTAAGGATTTAACCATCCTTAATCTTTAAAATTCTTGGAAAACAAAAATGTATATAATAACATGGCTCAAATTGAATAATAGGTGAATGAAGCCTATACATTGATAAAATAAAATAAATGAGTATACTATAATATGAATAGTGTATCAGTCTCAAGACTCCAGAGCAAGGCTGGGAAGGTCTGATGTAATTCAACACCCACCAAGGCTTTTATTATGGTCTGTACTGGTATCTATTCAGTAACGATTGTTATTATTTGTTTTGTGTCTTCAAGCTGCAAGTATTCCTCTGGATTGATATCCCCCAGATACACAAGCACAGCAAAGGCTATTGATTGAATCATTGTTACATCCCCTTTCTTCCGTCCAAACGAGATTGCACAACAGGGTTCACATTTTTGAAGATATGTGAGCCAAAACATGCCCCCCCCCTCCCTCCTTCCCTCCCTCCCTCCCTCCCCCTCTCTCTCTCTCTCCCTCAATATTTCTCTCTGCTTTGTCCAGAACATACCACAGTTCTCCTCCACAGTCACGATGACTAATATTTACCCCTACGGAGTCCGTTAGTTAGGCACCTATAAGGACAGCCAAACCACAGCTGTCCTCGCCAGGTCCCGGCCACGGCCTCTAAAACAGTCCAGTAAAGCACACCAGCAGACAAACGACTGCAGATGACCTCATACATCAAACGGAGGGCCTCGGCTGTGTCCTTAGTTCACCTCTTCATCTCCTCAGTCAAGAATCCACACAACCTCTGAACATACTACTCATGTAATCAACAAGTTGAGTGGTCGAACACTTGCAGAATGTTGCAGGAGAAACATGTGACCGCAAGGGACCAGAAAATGCTGCTTGACGACTGGAAAAAACACACGACGTCTGGTACTCGCAAATCTAAATGTTGTCCAAACAAACAGGAGATGAGCACAAAGCAGAGGAAAACCATAACTGAGTAAGTATAAATGCATTAAATAACCAACGATCAAATCGTAACGATACGAAGGAGGCGAAATATGCAGCACGCTCATGGACTTGCAAACAGCCTCTGAGCATTGTTTGGTCCTTGATTATACACAGTTACCACTGCAGCATAGATTTCTTCGCTGTGTAGTTTCATGTCATAAGCTGACACCAACTGACTTTTCTTGCCTTTCTGGTCTCTAAATAGCAATTTGACTGACAACTCTAAATATACTACCACTGTTCCGTCTTTCACATGTCAACACAGAAGCTATGCAGGCGCAAGTGCACATGTAATCACAAACGCACCAAGCCACACACGTAAACACAGGAAATAGGGACACATGACTGAATACGCAGGACATACCTATGGGAAACCTCCAACGCCATAATACATCACATCCATCGCCATACCTACGCTTATAGCGCACACGTTTTTCTAAATTACCTTTTTCAGAGCCATTCAATTTCGAGCTTAAAATCCAAATGACACAACAATCCCTCTGTCTTCAGCATCCTCTCTTTGCTGGTATCAGAGCATTGTAGATTACAATGGTGTCCAAAAGTTGAAGGCCAGGTGATCAAATCTCAAGTCCTGAATGTCACGGATTGTTGTGGTGTAAGCGGTCAGCGGTGGTAGCAGGTAGTAAAAATGAAAAGTCGGTCAACTTTGTCCGCGTCTGGACGAGCCCGAGCCACTGGATGACCAGGCTGTTTGGAGTTCAAGTGCAAGTATTATATACCAACATTCACCACGTGGCCCCGCCCCTCCGTCCGTCTCCCATGACAACACACGCGCCATAATCAAAATAGAGCCCATCTGTGCTCCGACACACCCTCTCTGCTCCATCCTCCAAACTCCACCGAGGGCAGAGGGGAAAAAGTGATCTTTCAATTGCAGCGAAAGCTCGTACGTGCCCTTGCTCTCCCTCTTTTAACCGCAACAGCCAAACACAGGCTTAGTGGGGAAAGGGGGGAGGCGAGAGGCCCGATAGGCAGGGAGGACGACTCCACCCTCATCCGCCTCTGTCTCTCATTCCATTATTTCCCGGCTGTTGTGCAACAGGGGGAACGGATTCCTGAGAAGGGAGTCACGGCTCTGTTGTAAAACTTACTGGCAGGAGAGACCCTCAGTGTTTTTCTTTTACTGTTTCCCTCGCTCACTATTCGTCTCTGCTTTGTTATCAAAACCATGTGTATGAGCATGTGTGTGCGCCGTGAGGTCTTGGAGGGACACAAGGGAGCACAGGAGACGGTGAACACTCGGGCTATTATGGAGAAACGAGCCCACGACACGACCACGACGTACGTATGTATGTGTGTGTGTGTGAGTTGCAGCAGCGGATGATAAGATGTTGAGGTAAGATGTAACAGGTAAGATGTTTAAAACATGTAGAGAGATTAAGAGAGCGAGGGTTTCGTTTACGAGAGACGGAGCAGGCGCTCAGATGTTTTACCGTGGAATTTGTTGTCAGCGAGGCAAATGACCACCCACGACATACCGCGGTTGTTTATAGTCTCCAGATCAAGAGTGGATTGCCCAATATCCAGATGTTTTCCATTTCATAAATGCAGCAGACACATAGCAGGGTACGTTGCGCATGACACACAGGTTATGAATGGGAGGAGGCTGCTGCGAAGAGTTCGGAGAGAGGTGGAGGGAGATGAAAGCCAAAAGGGAAGGAGGGAGATACAGAGGTAGAGGAGAGAGCGCACATCTGGAAACAATCGCAAGAGTGCACATGTGCCTCAGCTTTAAAAGAACAACAAGTCCTCAAAGTTGTGCAGGAACCTGTCTATATCACTGCCACATGAGGGGCCACCTTTGTGCATACTTTTAGGTAAAACATCTCCACTGTTCACTGAGATGGATGCCTATGGACGGCAGAGAGTAACGTGTCATTACTCCTCATACTGTTATGTAACTTCCACCTGGGGAAAAGAAATCACTCAGTAACCACATGACAATGTGCAAAGAGGACTGCAAATTGATAGTTTTCCTTTGTATAAACTCAGAGGCAAAGACATGTTCAGTACCTATTTGATACCGTATGACGTTCTGTTACATAGCTGCCACAACCCTGCAAGACAATGTTATGCAAACTATTTTTCAGACTAATTAAATCAAGGTTTCCATTGCGGCTCTGATAGAAAATTCTTGTAATAACTTTCCATAATCGTGATGGATAAATGTGGCAACTTCCAAAAGGCAGTCCTCTGATGATGTGGCATTGCTTGTATGAGTTAAGAGTCATGCAAGCAAAACAAAATACATTTACATTGGTTCCTATACAATTATTAAAATGATTTCATATACATTAAGAGTCAAAACAAAAAATGAAATTCCCTGATTGCACTGCGCTGACCAGACCTGTCTCTGTCTTAAGGCAAAGACTTTACAAAGCTCACAAAAGAAACCAGAACACATTCAATAAACAATCATCACTTAATTTTATTGTCTGTTATAAGGCATCTTCCCTGAGAAGGACAGCAGTCATTTCACGGTTTGGGATAAATAAGATCAGATGGAGAAAAAAATGGCTTTGGCGGGAACAGAGGGCATTACTCAGACATGAAGTCGGCATTTATGGCCAAAGGGCTTCTGAGTAATCAAGTATAGCATCATGAGATTGTTTGGTTGATAGTCAACATTCTTTTGTCTTATTCGAGTGCTTGAGAAGGCATCACGGCTCTTTTTATTTAGCACGTGACCGAGTTTTTGCAACTTTCGTATCTCACTAGAACCTGTTGAGAAAGTCCTGGTAGGTTTGTCTGTGAGCCGATGCGGCAGGGACGAAATGGCCACCAGGATGTGTCAAAACCTGCGGGTCTTGGAAGGAGAGGAGGAGCTCCCTGCTCATGCTGTCGGGGATAACTCGGTCTTCCAGTCCAAACACATGCAGGGAGGGGATCTCAAGTGGAGAGTTATAGAATCGTTTGTGCTCCTCACACGCGCTGCGGAAACCGGCGACGAAGATGGCGAAGCGGAAGCTGAATTCCGGCTCCAGTTTTTGCTCCTGAAGGAAGCACAACATGGCTACAAAAGCTGCTCCCTGACTGAAGCCCAGGATGCCATCGAATGGACCTTGGATCCGCACAGCTTCCCGCACGGCCTTCACGCTCTCATCGAGCCCCAGGCTTTCCTCACACTGCTGCAGAGCGCTGAAACTCCGGGCCTGGACATCAGAAAACCACCAACCCTTCGGGTCCACGTTGCCGTTCTCTTTCTCTGGAGCTTCTGACAGGACAGAATAAGACGGCGGTTATCCTACTGACTTTACATGTTCCACAATTGAAAGGGGGGACCGGAGCATTTTTATTCTCTGAAAGTTACTCCTTACATTTTTTTTATAATCTGTACAGTTATTCTTCGTATTTTAGTAGAAATTACAACATGCATGATTCAATAAAATGCAGTTGATATTTGTTAAATTGTTTGCACAGAAGATGATGTGATTTTCAGATAAATTGGTTTATTAATGCTGTTAACACTACACATATTAGGAACGACTTAAGTTAACTTAATCCCATTTCATTATTATTAATTCATTAATTCATAGAAAGTATTTAGTAACGCCGTACGCGGCAATCCTTAAAGGGAAAGCGAGCTTTCACTGACAGGTCAACTAACGTTAGCCGTGTCGAACCTGCACCAGCAGGCGGCTTTGGTTGAAGGCAGCAGCGGCAACGACTCACCTTCCCCCCCGGCTTCCTGCACACAGTGCGGCGCGCTCAGGTAAACGAGCTCCGCGTGTTTCTTCAACAGCTTCCGCAAAGCTCCCGTCTTCTCCCGGAAAGAGCCGCCGTTCTGACGGTAACCGTGGACGCACAGGACACGGAGAGGTGCCATGGAGGAGTTAGCTTAATGTTAGCGAACGTAAGCTAACTGGTTAAGCCAGGGGAGGACGTTTTAATCACAGTTCAGATAATATTAACTTTAATAGCGGTACATACGAACAACAACTCGTTGGGATAAAAACAAACCGCTTTCATTAGCCGTTGGGAATTACAGAGACGTTGGAAGACGAAGAGTTGTGCAGCTATAGAATGGCGCAAGTTCAACTCGTAAAGTCAGCCGGAAATAAATAAAAAGTACTTCCGTATATAAATTTCAAAATAAAACCCTAGTTTCTAAGGTGACTGAAATGTTGCATCTCATCCCCACTGTATGACACAAATAATACAGTGAGAGATGAATATATAGCCAATTACCTTGAAAATTGAAAGTACTTATTTTATTTTATAGTCAGTACTGTTGACCCATGTTCCTGAAGAAGACAACCTGCATGCTTGACCCTGACATGTGCCCAAACAGCCCTCAGTCTGTTTCTCATCACGCACACTCCGTGACCGTAGTGGCTCAAAGTGTCACAAGTTTTGACAGCCTTTCAAATCAACTTTTTTTCCTGTACGTCACAGTTTGCCTGCTCTGCTTTTCCCGCCGGAGCAGCTCGGATTAACAGATTGATAAACATATGGCTGATCCTTATGATGCAGCGATCATGCAGCTAAATGACTTTAATCTTGTGTTGACTTAATGAATGGAAGAGTTTTGATGACATGATGTTTTCGCAGGAAATTATATGTTATTATATTACATTCGCATCCTATTTTATAATATCAGGACAAAGATTTGTCAATTAAAGAGTTGAAAAGAAATAAAATATCTGTCTTTGTGTCTATATACGTACATACATACATACATACATACATACATACATATATATATATTTCTGTTTTGGTCAGAATTGTTTGGACAGAAGTTTAACCATTAGCATTTTTGCTTTTGTATGATAAAGTTTGACTCATTGTTAACTGGTGAGAGGCTCACTTCTAAAGACTCAGATGAGAATGTCTCTTAATGTGATATTTCAGGCGAGCCAGGTGATATAGAGCAGCTATTGAAATTTCCATTAGCTGCAACAACACAAAAGAGAAGAAAAAAACTCACAAGGAACTTTCTTTCCAACGCAGATAAAAGTGAAATGCTAATACCGAGCTCCAAGAGTTCACTTACCAGATTCCTTTTCTGCTTCAGTGGCAGCTCTCCCAAAGGACTCTGTGAAAAAAGACAGACATGATCCAGATTCCCTTTTGACAAAAATAGAAAGGCAATATCCCACACATCATTATGTCACTTCAAAATTGTATGCAGGAGTTGGCATTTAGCCGGTCCTCCTAAGGTTTTGTGGATGGCCCAAAGCAGTGACAACGATTAAAAAAAGGAATGGATGAAAGTTTAATTAGGTTCGGCCGGCGATGATGTATCACGCGTTGCCCGTGTTTTCCAAGGACTCCTGACATTTAAAAGCGTCGACTAATCTTTAAAACGGCCTACTTTGCTTTTTCACCGACACAAAAACAAATAATATATGTAGCTCTGGGGCACACCTTCTTTGTTTACCGAGACATTTTGTGAGCATTTGTGTGAAAGCGCTGCAGGGTCAGGGTTTACCCAGCTGGGATATGATATTAAAGCTGAGAGGATTGCTACAGTTTCATATGTTTGGCCTGGAGGGGTGGCAAGCTTCTAATTCAGGGACACGGTTTCCATTGCTTCTTTGTCAGGCTCTTTGACGACGAGCGGCAGCTTACTTTGATGATGTTTTTGGAGAGGTCTCTCATACAGGCTCCCTCAATTAGGTCTTTTGTAGCCGAAGGAGCGCACGTGTTGCTTTGCTGTGGCGCACATGCTAATTAGGGAAAGTGTCAAAACACCCAAGAGATAAGGCTCCTGTTGATGTTCTCCTGCACTGGTGAGGAGCCATGTGTCCTTCCCCCAGGGAGGCAGAGAGAGAGAGAGAGAGAGAGAGAGAGAGAGAGAGAGGGAGACACCTTTGCTGGTGGAGACAAACTGCTTCCTTGTTTTGTATTTTTAATTCTTTCTATTATTGGTTGCAACATAATTTCTCCTTGGCTGTCCAGGCTCCACAAAACTCACGTGGATCTTAAAATGTGACAATATAACAATAAAGAACTTGCACCATCACATCCTTACATATAAATAACAACATGTTAAACTAGACTTTCACCATAAACTTCTGTATTAATTATCTTAATTGCAACATGATATAATGTATAACCCCTAAAGTATAATACATAACATAATCTACATTATTAGTTACATGAAGATACATACATCACTTAAATCAGTGGTCCCCAACCACCGGGCCGCACCACAGAAAGCTTATATATTTATTTTTTATGACAAATCTTTTATTTTGAAAATTGCCCGGATTTTCTCCTAATTATGTACGCTCGTCCCTCTGACATATTCCCCACGCGTCACCAGGCGTTTTTCTTGTCCTTTTACCGTGCTCGGCAGTTTCGCCGACCAGCGAACACAGAGCGCGCGACTACTACTCCCCCCCGTCGGACCATCTCGACCGGTCCGCGAAATATTGTCTGACATACATCTGCCACCGGAAGTCAACAGGTCGATAATGAGCCCTGCATATGATCAAAGAACCCTTTAAATATCTAAATATATGTCCAATCAAATTTGGATCAGAATATTTGAGAAGTTAAGCAGTGATTCAAACAATCGAAATATATAAATCACTTTCTGTTGTCAGCGAGGCAGACAGGCAGTCCTGTGGAAAACTGTCAATTGTGTTAATGACTGTAGAATGGCCACAGGCAAAGGTAGACAGCGTGGCAAATCTCTTTTCACAAAGAAAACTTAAAAAAGTGACCACTTACGGTTGTGGGGTCAAATCAGGTCGCCCCTCTTGTAGCCCACAGGGGGGCAGTGGTGCACTGTGACTTCAGGTTGTATGATTGAATCAGACCTCAAACCTGACTGGCCGCCAAATATTACCAGCAAGCCAAACCTACCGGTGTGTGTTTGAACACAAGAAGACCAATCCACAGCAAGCAATTACACAGAATAATGATTGGGGGGGTAGTCGTGCATAATAATTATAATAAAGTATTTGGGAAATTCAGAAAACCCTGTGCACTGAAATGGAGAATTAAACAATCTAAGAAAAATCCTATATTCATTATCACTATGAAGTCAGCTGCTGATGTACTGCAGGATACAGTCCGGATGATTATGGAGGACACACGGGTTAAGCTTCCCTGGCAGAGCCAAGAACCAAATGAGTGGTGGGGCCGTTGGGTCATGAGGGTCAGAAAAGCCTGCAGGTTTTGTCTTCCAGTGGAAGATCTTTGCTTCTCTCCTCTACAATGACATTAATAGAGACCCTGTCATTCTGCCTCGTGATCTGTGCATTGTGTTTGCACATAAAGGAGGACAGAGAGGAGTATGACGAATGTCCTGTCTGCTCCGGATCCTCCATGGAGGTGCTGATGTGGGCCATACGTCGTGTGAATGCCCCCTGGAGAAAAGCAGATGGATGAAATGAAACTCACCTTTATGCTTTCAGGAATTGTTTTATTTTTTAAGTTATTTTTGGAGAGATACCACTACGAGTCTTATCAAAACAAGTCTGGTGCAGAAGGCAGCTTTGTTGCTTGGTTTGACAGGTGACAAATGTCAACACGTGGTTGGTCACAGGTGAGGCAGCGAAATGAATTGTGCATGGAAATGTGAAACATAGTTGTCCTTATTTTGTTGTGCCCTCCTATCCTGTTTATCTGTGTGACACTAATGTTTTATGGTTAATATTACTGCTGTGCCCCACTAGGCTAATCATAATCCATTAGTGAGATAATTTGTGTGAGAGAGGGAGACAGACAGACTGAAGCTAATCTGTAGTCCCCTTTTATGAAATCACTGGAATAATCCTTTAACCATTTGACTCACTGACTATTTATTTTTGGTATTTCCCATGAAATCTAAGAGCCGGAATTTATTCAAAGCATTTAGTGCAACGCAGGTTGACTGAAAGATACAGGAGGGACTCCTTGTTACCTCAGCGGTCAGTGTTTGGGATGAACCGTAGTCTATGACTCAACTAGCAGGAATGATGCACTTTTCATCTCACTCATTCATTTACAAGTAACAGGGGAAGCAAGCAGCAGGAAAACTCTCCTGCAACTAAGTGGCATTTGATGATTAATGTGCACCTGCTGAGTGGGGTTTGATTTACGGCTGATTTGAAGTACCTTATAGATCATGCACATTGTACATTCTCACACTGTAACTGTTTGGCCCTGCGTGCAAACAATTCCAGCTAGTGTAGACATTTCTGTCAAATCTTTGGACAGTTTTTCATTTCAGTTTTGATGAATGGATGTAGAAATCAAATGTTAAATGCATTCGGCAATATCAGACAGTTCATGTTAATTTTTCAAAATTTAAGTGGTTGAGTGCATTATACAAAAGTACCGTTTAGTACAATTTTTAATGTACTTTTACTGCATGTCAATGGGAAAAAGAGGAGTTTGTTTCACTTAACAGCGCCTAGTCAGTCTTTGGAAAAAGTCATAGTGATAATGAGCTTTTACATACACAGGTCTTTTTTCACACTCCTAATGTTTTTTGGAGGTCTGCGCAGCACGGAAACTGTATACACATGGGCATATAAGTATAAGTATTTCTATTACAGACCCAAAAGTATGCAAACGTATCCTTTTGGTGACTGAGCGAAGGGAAAACATTCTTTAGCCTTAAATAATTCCGTCTCACGTGTAGGAAGGAAAACATCTCCTTATCCCAGCATTTTTGCAATTGTAAAGAGCAACTCAACTTATTCTCTGGTGCATGTTTCAAAACTGTGCACGCATGTATCATTGGTGCAAAGCTAGCCGAACTTCAGTGGTCCTGATGCTTTTGGCTGCAGGCTTCCAGCAAAAAAAAGATCAAAGAGATCAAATTGATGAGCGTCTAGACGAGGGAAGAAACCATGGATCCACCAGTAATTTCATTTTATGATCAGACGCATGAGAATTCAACATTGAACATGGGAAATCCCCCTCTTTATCCTCACACCATCCTCCGCTCCGCAGGCTGCTAAATTATTTGATTTTGTGTCACTACTATTTCAAGAGCAACTAACCACTGCATATGTTATTAGAGTTATATATTATTGACTATATATATATATATATATATATATATATATATATATATATATATATATATATATATATATATATTAACCCGGTCCACTCTTCTTTGCAATGGCTCCAGTGCCGCTACTATTGCTGTTCTTCAGCCAGCTTTCAGTTTCTGGCGTGAAACATTCACAGAGATGAACGACCCTGAACTTTTACAGAGTTGTATAGTAGGGAATTTGTTGTATCCACAGTTTTCCACAGCTCTTAACGGAGGAGGCTGCAGCAGCAAAGGTGTCCAGAGGGAGGGAGAAGGGTGGACACGTCAGGCCCTGAAGATGAAGATTGAAGAGATTAACAGAGAGGTAGTGTATCAGTGCTCTAAGAGAGACCATGGAGAGAGACATCCCTGTCCAACTTCCAGTGAAAGGTCTTCTGGCATTTGAATTGCCTTCAGCAAATGGAAACTTAATCGAGTCCCGCAGGAAACGCATCGGAGCGTGTTGTGCCTAGCAACTTTGTTTTCTTTGCACTGCTCTGAATACATTCTCAGAATTTCCTAAAAATGCAAGAATGAAGGACCAAGCCAAACATTTGACTTTTTATTCTGAAAATACTGTACTGTAGATTACACA